AAAATCCTTTTTTTGGAGACCTTTCCAGAACACCAGCTTTATTGTGGACCAGTGTCCTTATCCCCTAAGTCTGAACAGCTCTCTTCTGTCCCTGCTGCTTTGGCTTGGTGGTCTCTATGATGCACTCCCTCTGTCTTTTCATTTCTTTCACTAGTCGATTCCCTCTCATCCCTTATGGACTCTCCCTGTTCTTCTCCTCCTCCTCTAATATGAAAAAATATGGTGTAAAATAATATGTTACAAAAAGTAAATGTAATATAGGCTACTTAATGCCAATAAGTTAGTATAGGAGTATGAGTAGTTACTGTTTTGCTTGCCACTATACACTATATGTCAATTTATTGTTGTTGTTTTCTCACCTGGTTCTTCCTACATGCTCTCCCATTCCCTTTCTCCTTCTCCATCTTTCTCTCTTTCCCCTGGCACTGACAATCATACACAAATACATTGTAGGCAGGAGAGTTGAGGTCAGTTTGTCACAAAAATGTTATGGAGACCATTTACAGAGTCTAAGGATATGATCAAAAGGCACACAGAGACGTGTCATTTTAAATATCTTTATTATTATTATTATTATTATTATTGGGCTTAGAGACACAATTCTTTTTAAAATCACAAATTCCTTTCCTGAAGCTGTATTATCTATTGTGGGTTTGAAATAAAAAAATAAAATAAATAAAAATAAAAGCAGGGAACCATTGCCTACATGAGTAATTTGATACAACATACAGATAGCTGGTTTATATTATCTGTTACTTTAGCTTAACACTTTTCAGAAAAAAAAAACAAGACGGAGGTCATTATGGACTGTCCATAGTCTCTCACCTGAATCTGTCTTTTTTCTTTTAAAGAACTGTCGTATGTCCATTGCTCACTGGCAAGTCACACACACACACACACACACACACACACAAACAGAGAGAGAGAGATTTACATAGGAGTTATCTTTCAAACATCTCATACCTGTGTGTTATAAATAGCCTATAGACCTGCTGTGTATGTGTGTGTGTGTGTGTGTGTGTGTGTGTATTATGTACTACTACGCCTGCATGAATGTGATGTGATTATTATTGTTGCAAAGCCTGGTTCAGGTTAAATCCTCTGTAAAACATGAAGGAATACAGCAAAAGAATATTTTATTTAACTTTCATTTATTGTCTAGTTCAGGGGTTCTCAACCTTTTGCAAGCTGGGCCCCCCCAAAGCTGGTTCATTGCAGTTGGCCCCCCCTTCCCGGCGCCACCCCCACTACACCACCTTGCATAGATAGATAGATAGATAGATAGATAGATAGCCCTAGGCTAGGCTATTATTTTTAGGGCCACATTATTGCCGCCGTATGAACTGGAAGGTCTCTATTGTTTTTCCTTCTTTTTTTTTTTTTTTTAGGGACGGAGCCAAAAAAAAAAGGAAGGTCTTTTTTTTTTTTTTTTTTTTTTTTTATTATTATTATTATTATTATTTTTTTTTTTTATTTTTTAAAATTTTTTTCAAACCAAAAAAAAAAAAAAAAAATAATTTTTTTTTTATGTTTTATTTGTTTATACTAACTTGTTGTAAACCTTATCACGCTTTGAAGCTAACCTCCAAGGCAGCCACTTTTGGAAATGTCCAATATTTCTGTTCCTCCTAATTCTGCCAATTTGCGTTTTGGGACCGTTACAAAAGTAATTTGAAATTTGATATTATAAACATGGTAACAATGACCCTGTTATTTTAAAAGGTGGTCTCCGTTTATGTCATCACAACCTTGGGTAGCTGTTCATGTATTCAATTTGTTCACACTAGGTGGCTTTTAAAATGAAGGTTTATATCTCTGATCGGAGTGTATTAGATAAACTTGTAGTCCCCTGTCCCTCTCCCTAAAAGGACAAAAATACGCCACTGGGTGCCTGCATATAAATCACTTATGTTATGAAATAAATCGAGTGCTGCTCCAAAAATCCTGTCCTGTTGTACCCCCACGGATAAAAACAGCGGCCATCCACATGTACAACTCGGCATGATATGCCGGCGAAAGCCTCTTGACCCATACTCAATCGTTTTTTTAAAATTTGTTGGGCAGGTCATTGACTTTGGGCTTTTTAGAACTAACTGTCTAATTTATCACTGCTTAATTGTGGAATGGTGTAATGAAGATATATTTACTGTACGTTAGACGTCTGCGTGCATTTGAAATGCACTGATGTCTTTGATTTCGGCTTCTATTTGAATATCCTCCTACGTTCTATCGATCTTTTAAATTTAGAGCCGACTGGTGCTGAATGAAGAAATTTGGTGATACTTGAGGGCTTCCGTGTGCCTCAAGTTGGTTTAAAATGTCACATGTGATGCATTGCCTTCGCTTCTATTTGAATGATTTCCTCTGACACTTCAACGATCTTTATTGGGGTGTACATGGTGTATAAGATTTGTATGTACGTTAGGGGGTCGTGGTAGTTGGCCATAGCCCGTGGTCCTGTATTTAACAAACAAACTCCTGAGAACTGATCATCTGCTTCAAACTTGAGACTCTTGAATAATCTTGTGATTACAGTTGTGCTATTTATGACTGTACTTGAAGGGCTGCCCAGTCTGTAAGTTGGACATTTTGAATTCTGTGGTCTTTTTTCAAGTGATGAAACACAAACACCCCTCCCTCCCACTAGCACATCACAAACCATATCCTGGTATTGTTGGGCATGTGGAAACGCTATAATTGGACGTCTTATAAAAAAAAGTGTACATGAGAATTGAGCTTTTGTACTTCGTCAACGCGTGCCACTGACCCCTTTAATTCGACCATCCTAACGGTCTCGTAACTGTGTGATGCATCAATAAACTTCATATATTCTTACAGTCTCGCTAGCGTCCTCAAATCCTCTAACTGCCCCCTGACTTGTCTCGTGACGATTCGATAAGTGAGTGGCACGGAAGCGTGCGTGCCGTATGGGTTCGTGCGATGTTGCCGTCCGCTTTTCGGCACGGGCGGGGCCGCAACCCCTACCGCACGGTTCGGCTCTGTGTTGAGCTTTATTATTATTATATTTTTAGCTTGCTTCCTAATTTTAATATTGGATTTTATTTGGCATGTCAGCCTATTTAATTGGAGATTCTATGCGTCATGGGTCGCATAAAGGCCACTGGTGGGTTTTGATTGTTGATAACTCCCATAGTTGTTCATAAACCTATATCCACGTTCGTTGGCTGAACCTCCCATAGCCGCACCCCTAGATTAGCGCAATGTCATAATCATTTTGTTCCTCCTCACTTTTCTCGCCACTTTGTTTCTGGGACCGTCCTGACAAAAGTAATTTGAAGAATTTTGATATTAAAAACATAGGAGTTTACATTGACTCCTGTTGATTTAAAGGAAGTGGGGTATTTCCCACGTTGGTTGTATTTACACCACCTTGGGTCATAGTCCCTGTCTTTATGTATGTGATTTCGGCACCACTAGGTGGGCTTTTAAATGGTTTTATCTCTGATCGGAGTGTATTAGATGAAACTTGGTACGTGCTTCCATGGCTCCCTAGCTCACCTAAAAGGACAAAAATACGCCACTAGTGTGCTTTTGGCATGATAAATCACTGTATAGTTATGAATATGAAATTCACGGGAGTGTGGGTGCCTAGCTCCAACCAAAATCCTGTTTTCCTGCTTGTAGCCCCTACGGATAAAACATCGCCCGGCCCACGTTTCCCCTGACGAAACTATAGGCATGTATAATGTGCCGGGCGTAAAAAGCCTCTTGGACCCATACCTCAATCCCACAGGTGGTATTTTTTTAAAATTTGATTTGGATTTGTTTTTGACTTTTGGCTTTTTTATTAACTGCTCCTGGAATTTATCATCTGTTAATTGGTGTCACATGGTGTGATGAAGTTATATTTTGTGACTGTACTTGAGGGCGTGTCGTGGGTGGGGCGGTTTGAAGCCCTGGTCTGTATTTGAAAAACAAACTCTTGAGACTTTATCGATCTGCTTCAAAACTTGACGGACTCTTGAATAATCTTGCTATAAGTTGTGCTATTTATGACTGTACGTTGGGGTGTCGGTGTGAGTTGGACATTTTGAATTCTGTGGTTTTTTTCAAGTGATGAAACACAAACACCCCTCCGCTCCATAGCCACATCTACAACATCCTAGGGGTATTGTTGTGGGCATAGGGGAAACTGTAGTCGTGTTAATTGCAAGATAAATGGGGACTTATCAATCGACTTCAAATTGGACGTCTTATAAAACAGGTCTGAGAATTGAGCTATTGTGACTGTACGTCAACGCGGCACACCCCTTTATTCGACCATTCATGAACGGTACCATTGGGCATGCATCCAAAACTTTTTCTGTAACAGTCTGCCTGAACGCGTCCTCTAACATCGCCTTAAGTCCGCAACTTGTCTACTGATTCGATAGTAAAGAGAACTGGCACAAGGCGTGCACGCCTTGGCAGATACGTAGCGTGTCGCCGGCACTGCGCCTGGCACCCACCACGTTCCCCTTTTTAATTATTATTATATTATTATTATTATTATTATTATTATCATCAGTAGCAGTAGGTATAGGCCTATTATCATTACTAGGCTATTGTTATAATTGGCAGTAGCACCAGACTTCTAATGTGAGCTTGCAGGCATTATTATTATTATTATTATTATTATGAGTAGTAGTAGGCCTATTATCATGACTAGGCTATTGCTATATACTTATATGAATTTACATGCTTTATTGTTATTATTAGTATTATTATTATCATAAGTAGGCCTATTATCATTACTAGGCTATTGCTAAATAATTATATGAGGTTACATGCTTTATTGTTGTTATTATTATTATTATTATTATTATTATTATCATCAGTAGGCCTATTATCATTACTAGGCTATTGCTATAATTGGGAATTGGCACCAGACCTCTGATATGAATTTATTCTTTATTAGTGTGTGTTTAGTAGTATTATTACTAGGCCTAATAGTAGGCATATCATCTGCATTTTTGACAGAAGCTTGCAGGTAGGCGATGTTAATGTGAGACCTGAGCCTGCTTTGCCTTGCAAAGATCCTCAATTCTTGGAGCAATGTCTGATAAACATAGCCTCAAATCATTCTCGATTTGTGCACGATTGCGGTACTTTATTTTGAGAGCAGTCATTTTTGAGAATCCTGCCTCACACAAATATGTCGACGCGAAAGGGAAGAGAATCTTCAAGGCGACGTCACAGAGTTGAGGGTATTCCTGCATCAGTGCTGCCCAGAATGACGAAAGAGGGCAGGAGGTAAAGACTTCCTTCAGCCTACTGTCACTCTTCAGTTCAATGAGCTGTTCCTGCATATTGATTGACAGCTCGTTTGCTGTGCACACAAATGGATCTCGAACCCACGCAAAAGAGCGATAATCCTCCTTAAAGTACGTCGCAAATTGTGTTCTCATTTCTGACAGGTGCTCAGACGCTGACTGAAATAGAGAGGAGAAATCGTGTGATGTGCCTGCATCCGTGATAAAGTCTGCAAGGCTGGGGAACATGTCGCAGTTCCCTCGACTGATGCGGCCATGCCAGAGGTCAAGTTTTTGTGTGAAGGCGTCCACTCTGTCTGCAAGGAGCAAAATATGAGTTTCGCGGCCTTGCAAAGACAGGTTGAGGCCATTCAAGCGGTCAAATATATCGACCAAATAGGACAGAGACGCAAGCCACATAGTGTCATCCAGATGCTTCGCCAGATCTGATTTGATTTCTGTCAAAAACCACTTCACCTCCTCTCGCAGCTCATACAACCGCTGTAACACCCGCCCCCTGGAGAGCCAGCGAACTTCAGTGTGCAGAAGCAGCTGTTCGTGCCCTGACCCCATCTCCTGGCAGAAGACCCCAAACAAGCGAGAGTTTAGCGGCCGTGATTTGATGAGATTTATCATTTTCACGGATTGGTTCAGCACGGAGTCAAAGAGAACCGGCATTTTTTTAGCAGCTAGTGCTTCGCGATGGAACATGCAATGTGTCCATTTCACAAGTGGAGCTACTTGCTGAACGCGAGCAGCTAGGCCGCGCTCACGGCCCGTCATTGCCCGCGCACCATCTGTGCATAGGCCAACGCATCGGTCCCAAGCCAAACCATTTTCACGAATAAAAACATCAAGGACATTGAATATGGCTTCTCCTGTAGTGTGCGACTGAAGAGGCCGGCAAAACAGGACATCCTCCTCAATCGTCTTGTCCCGCAGATACCTGACATAGGTGAGGAGCTGTGCCTGCCCAGTAATATCAGTGGATTCGTCCAGCTGCAGCGCGTAGTAAGGACTCTTTTTTGTGAATGAAATCAGTTGCTCTCTGATTTCATTAGACATGTCTGAAATTCTCCTAGCGACTGTGTCATTGGACAGTGGTACTGCACCGAGTTTGGCTGCTGCACTATCTCCTATCATTATTCTGCACATGTCTTGCGCAGCCGGCAAAATGAGAGTCTCGGCAATTGTATGCGGTTTACCCAGTTTGGCTATTCTTTTGGCCACTACATACGATGCCTCCAAACACTGTTTAGACACAGTGCTGTGCGCTGACATGGTTGCCTGTTGCTGTTGGAGGCCATCAAGCTTTCTTTTAAAATATTCAGCCGGTTTATCCTTAATGCCAGCATGCTTTGTTTCGAGGTGCCTTTTTAGTTTGCAGGGCTTCATGCTGTCGTTTGCCAGCACCTCGGCACACACGACACACTGCGGTCTCAGATCAGCTGTGACTGTAAACCCAAACTGCAGGTATGCTTCATCGTACCTTCGAAGCTTTTTTGCAGCTGGTGGTGCGTCGGTTGCCTTGTTGGTCCTCACTAGAAATCTCTCCATTTTTGTTGGTTTTGAAATAATTTGGATGTGGATTAGTTGTGATTTCAATAAAGTTTAGGCTATGATGTAACGATGTGTGTGTGTGTGTGTGTGTGAGTGACTATGTTGAGAGACTAGTATCGGGGGCTAATCAGTTGGGACTTAGGCACGATCTTTAATACAAACAAAACAAAATTAATAACAAACAAAATAACGATTTTACAGGCAATGCAGATTTTATTTTAAGACTTGACGATTGTAGTCCTTTGTCAGTGAGTGAGTGAGTGTGTGTGTGTGTGTGTGTGTTGCAACACGGTGAAAAGGCAGAGGGGTAGTTAGCTAAGTGCACTGCCTAGCAGTTAAAAAATAAACATAAAAACATAAAAATAACTGAGATGGGGATAATCTTTAAAAAGACTGTTTGTGGGATTAGTCTTTAAAAAGACTGTTGGGTTTTGGAGTATAAGAAAATGATATCGAGATTAATAATAGATAGAGTAGATAGAGTAGCGAGAGCTGGCACAAGCGAACTTGGCAAGAGACTAGACGAGAGTGAATGGAGCTACGCGCAGTGTTGTATTTTTTGTGTGAGAGTGCAGAGTGAGTGAAGAAACATTTACATTTAAACCCCGCTCTGTGAGCCAGGGCGGGAACGGCGGCGGCCATGCGCATGCGCGATTCATTTGCAGCCTGGACGCGGAGTGGTGTGTGTCTCCTCTCTGCTCTGACTGCAGGCTGCTGCGCGAGGTTACAGAGACTGACCGCCTGTGAGTGCTTTGGACCGGGGAGGGGCTCACGGCAGCACCCGCTGCTCGTTGAGCACAGTAACTGCAGAGTGATACGTGCTTTCACGTCAGTCTCCAAACACCACGTCAGTCTCCAGTAACATCAGATTTTTTTTCCTCCCATCCTGTAGCCTACTCGCGCCCCACCGGTTGAGAACCACTGGTCTAGTTTGACACAACTGAAAAACAACAGATATAAATCTAGGAATAAATAACAATTCATTTAAAAAGCCACAGTGAGTGTTTTCACACATACTGCTGGTATACAGTGATATGTCGTTTGTTTTCACCGTGGTCCAAACGCCGCACCACTGGCAGGGCTTCATGTTCACATGACTCCCGATTGTTAAAATGAGTCTCAAAGTAAGGATAAACTTTAACAACAGAGACACACGTACGCACTACACCGGTACGCAGTTTATTTGTCACGCTGCTGTTTTTGTTTAATAAACGGACCGCTCCAGTTCGACTGTAGCCGCTTATGGAGCTAACCGGGCTAACGGAGCTAACTGGTAAACGGTGCCTGGACTCCAGTACTCACCGATATGGTATCGGAATCGGAACAACTCTAGGTAAAAGGAAAGAAGTGTGAGACACATCTTTGGGGCAACTTACTTAGTTGATTCACAACACTACAACTAAACGGATTCTCACTCTGCGTGTGTGTCGCGCTGGACGGCGGTCGGGCTGCGGAGCGGTGCAGGTACAGAGAGGGGGGAAAAGGGAGGAAAGATGGGGAAGGAAGGGGAAGAAGGGGGAAGGAGAAGAGAAAAAAAGAGAGGAAAAATGAGAAAATTGCCAGTTCGATCCCCGATTGGAACATGCATCAATTAACACAAACTCTTACAAAGTGCTATGAATCCATCAAATATAGCTTAAAAACTAATACAAATAGATAAATAAAAATAAGAATATGATACTACTACTACTACTGTTTATAATAATAATAAACCTTTATGTCAAAGAAATGTTTCTGACAGTCACTTCTCACACCCTGTGGATCTGTCTGCAATACCATTCTGTCCCTTTCTTGTAATTTTAATATCTGTGTGAGTTTGTAAAAAGTTTTCCAGGTAGGTTTGATAGAAAAAAGCCAAAGGATACTGTTGTAGAAATAAAGTTATTTTTATTTTTATTTACAAACACCTTCTCCGTCTCTCTCACATAAACACACCCTCACGAGCATAACCACACACACACACACACACACACTATGTAACAGGTTGTGGACTATTTACAAACAAAAAAGCTTTAGGCCTACACAGTCTGTAAGGGCCTCCGAGCAGGTGGTGGGGAGGGAATGGGGCCAGCAGGAGCAATCTGCCGGAAGGCAGGAACCGGAGCTGGACACAAAAACACGAACGGGGCAAAGGCAGGACTGGGGTTGGGGATGACAGGTGAAGGAGCAGAAACAGGTGTTTGGACAATGGGGGCAAATGCAGGACTCTTCAGCCGCTTGTTGTGCCACTGAATTAATGTCGTTTGATTCACTTCAAACAATTGCAGGGTGGTATTTTCCATCACAGTCCCATTGCCCAGGACCAGCTGCCGGATCTTGCTGTAGTCCCTCAGAATTAGAGTCCATCTTGTTACGCCATGATTTCCCAATTTTTTGGGGCTCCTGTGAATTTCACACAGTTTAATAAAAATAGACTCTACCAGGCGGCAACAGTCTGGCCACTGGGCAGGGGATCCTGTTGACCCAAGGACGCAACGGGTCATGCTGTCCACACCAGGCGTGAATTCAGGCTTGGTTTTTGAGCACCTGAAGCGTCCTGTTGTAAGACACACCTGGTGCCAGGCAGCGTACACCACTCTCTGCTGGTCATATGGAAGCAGGCTCAGAGTTTGCCCAGTTTCCACCCTAAGCCCCACCAAGTAGCCTGCCAGGTTGTCCACTCTATCTATCCCTGGTACACTGCGCTCATCCACAGCCTGGTAAAATATAAGAGGGAATCAATGTTAAAAAAAAAATACAATATCACAGGCAGAAGAACAACACAACTATCACAATGTACTTGTCACAAAAAGTCTTACCAGCGGTTGCTCAGGCACTGGTTGCACTGCTGGGGGAGCAGTGGCTGCAGCGATGGAGACAGTGAGGGTGGTCGGGAGAGGAAGGATGGAGGCGGAGGTGGTCGTGGAGGATGGAGCAGAGGAGGCGTAGGTCATCATGGCGGATGGACCAGAGGGCACCCTGGTCATCCAGATGAAAGATACTTTAAAAAAAAACATGTTTGTGGAATTTAATCTATCTTTTTTAATTTGGTTTTTATTAATCTATTTACTCTTTAGATTGTATTAATGGTATTTTGTTTGTTTCTGTTTTTCTTTTCATTGTGCTATACAAATAAAGTTAATAGTGCTATACAAATAATACTACTTGTACTGTTATTATTAAGAATAGTTACCAGTTGTTGCTTAGGTGCTGCTGTAGTGGTGTTAGCAGACCCAGTCTGGACAGAGGCAGGAGTGCTGGCTACGCTGGTCGTGGCGAATGATGAGACAGGGGACAGGTCCAGCACCTCAATAGTGGGATCCAGGTTGAGGTCCAAACTGCTATCTCCGAAGCCCTCGTCCTCCAACTCCTCCTCCGTGCCCACATCCTCCAACATCTGATCTGTTGCCTCACAGTCAGGATCCACGTCCTGCATGGCCTGCCCTGTTTGGCGGTACAGGTAATCTATACCTATGAGTTCACCTGGGACAGACAGAAGAACACAGTAGAGGGAAATCAGTTTTCAGAAAATATTCTATTTTTATGAATATAAAAAGCAATTTGAAGCTAAAACTCACCAGTATAGACAGATGGTGGCTGAAAAGATGGCACAAGCTGTCTTCCAAGCACCTTAACACTTTGGGTGTTGACATAGTGCACCAGGTCCCCAGAGTAGTTTAATAGGGATTGAGGTTTGCCTGCCAGAGATGCTATCTTACGGTCGTGATTCCACCTGTTCAGGCCTTCCAGGAGGTACAGCTGGAAATTCAAGCTGTTGGCACTTGTTCCTTTAGATAAGATCAATAACTTTAAGTTAATTTGTTGTGCTTTGCTATTTGAAAGACATTCATTGTGTCACCATTAATATTTATGATGAATAATGATTTATACTGACCTGGAATGAACCTGTTCAGATGGAGATGAAAGGACTCCAGTGATGTGGAGCCCCTTGCACATTTGTAGTTTGGCAGCACAATACCCTCTTTGGTGGTGGTGCCAGTCTGTGTGTAGAGGAGCACACCTGGTTCGTCCTGAATGCACTTTACGTGCCTCTTCTGGACTTGCCAGATGTGCTGCATCCTCTCCTGGTCCAAGAGAGGGACACCAAGAAGGTCTCGGCCCTTAACCCCCATCAACTTGCTGAGGAGGCGCTCGATCATCAAGATGGTCTTCTGCTCTCCTCTTGTCCGCCTTCAGCAGTGCAGGGCCAATTCCTCCTTGGTGATTCGTTGGTCCACCATAGTGTTGGTGATGCCAGGGACACCTTCATGTCTCAGCTGCTCCCTCTTGGCCTGCCTCAGCAGAGACACATCCCCACTGTCCCATTCAAAAATACAGCACGACATGCGTGCCATGAAAATGGGGTAAAGAGGATGTGCATCCTTAGTACACCCAGTTGCCAGACGCCGCATGAAGAGGTAGATGTCCAGCTTCACCACCAAGTCTGGCCACCCACCAAATCGCTGCTTGAGCTTGGCCTGCCCAGTGCCCTCCCGACAGCAGTCGCAGTCCACATAGAGGAGCTGAGGCGGAGCCACACCCGCATCAGTGTACCTCAGGATGAGGTCAGCTGCCATTCGGTCCAGGGCAGGACCCTCCTGAGCTGTCAGAACACTATTGAGGTTCAGTCAGGACCACTTTTGTCAAAATATCTTATTCCAAAGCGGAATATTACATTTGGCGGTATGGCTCTGTTCTGGGACCTCCTTGCCCTTCTACGTGCCGATGTGGAAAACCTTAAGACAGGGAGAGCACACCTCCCTGCCCTTCCATGTGCATTCATGGAAAAGTTTAAGACAAGGAGAGCGGCAGCAGAGACCCCCAGGGTACAGAACAGAGCAAGCATCAATGGCAATCAGAAAATGACATTGATTAATTAGAAACAACATAAAAAAGAGGAGCTGGGGTGGAGGTGGGTTGGCAAAAAGGCTTGTGGAGGAAGTAGCAGAGATAGGCAGGCAGGCTAAAGCAGCTTAAATAAGGCGCCATGAGTGATGTTTGCCAATTGGATGCTTGAGGGAATCAGGTGAGCTGTCAGCTGACTGTGTATGGTTTCCAATAGGAAGCTTAGAGGATCAGCTGATCCATCAGCTGATGTATGTTTATGACTAGCTGTGATCATAGGATACAGCTGTAACTGAGAGCTGAGCCTGACTTTGTGGCCTGCCTGAACTAAAGCTATGCTCCATATCTGGCCCACCTCATTGCTGACAGATGTCAGCCACAAAGCTGTCCTCTTTGCAAACCTCGACAGCTTCTTTGTGATCTGTAATCACATAGAAAAGACAGTGAGTGATGCTAAATTTATATATATGACACATTACTTCCATATTTCATGTCTGTACTACTACTAATGTTGTATTTTCAATTATTTTGATTGAAATGTAAAAATATTTATCTTTTTGGTGGAGTCCATCTTCAGGATGCAGCCATATGTGGACGTTATGCTGGATTTTATGTGGTCCAGCCTGCACAAGATATCTCGGCCATAAACAGCCAGCATCCACCTGTGGGAGGGGATAGTTTCCGGCTCAGGTGGCTCCTGAAACCTCACAGGGAGCAGACTTGGCTGGGAAGTGAAGTCTGAGCAGGCACCAAGGTACCGGCAAAGACGCTTCAGCCACTCCTCGCTGTGGTTCTCCCGCAGCTGCCTCACCAAGCGAGAAGGGCTGTTGCCCAGGGCCCTCTCCCTCAGGAACCTTATGACCCGCATGTCACAGGCATATCTGAATAAAACAAAGGGAAAGAGAGACAGAAAGACACAAACATTAAAACCAGCTCATCTCAATTGTGTTTCAAATGACAAACATTTGTTACACAAGCTAAATAATCTCAGTATACTCACTTTCGAGTTAGGATCAGCCTAAATTCCAGCCTGTGAGCTAAGTCCAGCTGGTCCAAGATGGCCTTGCTGGTGGAAATAAAGGCCATTTTGCACCCAACTGCACTGCACCAGAGAGTCTCCGTGATCATCAGGTTGTACCGGTCCACATCCAGAACCTGGCGGGCTTTCTTGTGCTCCCCATAGCCTGTGAGCTGTCTCCAACACACAGGACAGGACAGCCTGACCTTCCAGAGGTGGGATGGCATCCACAGTAGACGCCTGTGTGTAAAGAAACACTCTGGAGCGGGGCCTTGCTGATAAATCAGAGCTAGCTCTGGTGGATCATACCACAGCTTCAGGTCGGTACGAAGCCGATGTTCCACAAAGCTGCTGAAACCCACTTCTGATCCTGTGGTGGTATGGTTTTCAGCAACTTTGTGGGAAGCCATCCAGACTCTGAACCTGGAGCGGTCACCATATTCTCGGCAGGTTGGACAGAGGATCCAGCCACAGATGGAGCAGCAGAGGGAACACAGGCGGAGCTGATAACAGGGGTGAGAGGAGCAGAGGAGGCCCCAGAGGAGGCAGTGGCTGACACTTCCTAATGTATTAAAAAAGACAAACATATAGATATGATTACAAGCCACTTATGAGGAATGTTTGTTCAAAATTTTGCATATTTATGTGATCAAACAATATTAGTGTGAAGAAAACAATTAAATGAAAGAGTTTCTCACAGCTCTAGAAGCAGCTCTTGGAGCACAGGAAGCAGAGGTGGCTTCAGACACAGAAGAAGGAGGAAGAGACAGGGGGAGACGGTCTGGATATACAGCCTGGGACTGCGGGCAGGCGATGGTGTCCTAGATGCAGGGCTGGACAATGCAGAAGTGCTAATAGGCTGCAAGAGTAAGAGAGCACAGTTTACAATATTGAATGAAATAATGTATCATTATCAGGTATTGCAGTAACAACGATTAGATAAACTCAGCATATCTTTATAGAATGAAGTTTCATTTTCTTGACTATACCTTGGTTGTATGCGTCCTTGCCACACCTACGTTTGGTTTTAAGCTGCACCATGGGACCCACCATACCGCGGCTTTGTAATCTGACAAAAAGAAATTGATAACATTATGTGAAGCCTTTTAAAATGTTATATAACATATGATAACATAAATATCTGCATAAAGACATGCATTTACAGATGCCAAAGTCAAAGTAGGCTTTAAAGGTGCCTTCCCAGATGTCGTTCCTGACTGCCCTGGTGTTACAGGTAGTGACGTGGATGGTGTGGATGACACAGGGGCCACAGTGGCCAAACTGGAAGGCTACAGTTACACGGAAAAGGAAATACACAATACACCATCAACACATCAGTTTTATGAAACACTTCTTATACCTTTTTCGTGTGTCACATGTCTGTGTCCCCCCCAAACAGAGACATTTGCCCCCTTTGTTGCAGGGGACACTTCTCAATCTGTAACATATGACAGTGAATCATAACTATCTGTTCCCTCTAAATATGACATAGCTTTCCTGTGTTTATATACATGTCCAAGTTTACCTTCTGATACAGCTCATGCCATTTCTTCTGGCGTGGTGCCGGTCTGTTTCCCGCCTCAGAAGGCCAGACCCCCACTGTGGCAAATCTGCGCAGGCGGGCCATCCATTCACCTTCACTCATAGTGCTTCTTGTGCTTGGAAGCCATCTTCCAATAAAAGATAGCGTGTGGCAAAATACAAAGTTTATGACTATTCAGTAGAACTGAGTTCATCAGTTTCATACATTTATTTCACATAGCACATATTTCATTTCAGTGTTTTTGGACAAGGTTATAGTTTGATATTTGGGAGGAGGGGATAATGTGGTGTGTGGGTATAATAATATGCCATAACTCCATAAAAATCAGATTATTACATACCATTTCGATTACATAGACTAACAATTAGCCTATATTATGTTTATTATCGATTAGCCCACTTAAACAACACAAGCCCCATATTACGTCATAAAACGTCATGATAAAGTTAATAAAGGTTGGCGCAGTTTTATGGTTAGCCTATGTATTGTTCTTTGAAGGAAACCAAAGCTGAATTACAGCTGAAATGAACAGACAAAATTATTTTACCTCAGTAAAAACTGGCGCCCAAAACTATAGGCTTATTAACGTTATGCATAATTCAGCCATATTGCAGTGAGAGGTAATCTATAGGCTAGCTATTTTTAGCCAACTTAATGTAAGCATAATAACGTAATAACATACATTATGACAGTAATTCTGCCTATGCCACGATACTAATTATATTGATATAAACATGAAAAATTGTAAACGTCCATTAAAAATAATGAAACTGGTCGCTATCCCTAACCTCCACATAAATAAGACGTTCTTCTCTGTAACATTAGTACACGTAATGCGTTTTAGCTAACTTAACTAAATATAACAACATTGTCGGCTTCTTACCTCGATGTAGTAACGTTAATCCAAAGTAAGTCGAGTACTCTGACACCTGTAAAGTTTCAACTTTTTTTCTTTTAAACAGCTGGAAACCACTTAACCTCTGGCGATGCTTCGTCAGGTAGATGGAAAGTTTTTGGGAACGAACGATAGTCATTGGTTGTCAACAAAGGCAAGGAGTTGGAGATTTCGGAAATGGACTTTATTGATTGGCTGTAAGCTGTGAGGTAAAGATTAACATACTGATACGTGATTGATGCATAGTATATATAAAAAAAAGTTGGAAATGGATCATAGTCACTGGCTGTCAACAGAGGCTAGGAAACGGAGATGATGGGATTAGGCTTTATTGATTGGCTGTGAACATAGATGGAAAGATGCCAATAGTGATCCATATAAAGTCATAAAGGTTAAAGCAATTATTGTTGCTATTATAAGCCTTTTTGTAAAAATGAAGCTAACATATGTGTTATATTGTTGTTTTCTTTTTAGTTTCATCCTTTCCTCGTCCTGTTGGCAACCCCATCGCGGTCTTCAGAGTCCTGCTGAATGAAAGGTGTTGAGCTGCCTGTCAACCATTTCAGTCAGGACCACTTTTGTCAAAAGAACTTTTATTTCCAAAACAGAATGTTAGATTTGGCGGTATGGCTCTGTTCTGGGACCTCCTTGCCCTTCCACGTGCCGACGTAGAGAGGAGAGCAGCAGCAGAGACCCCCCAGGGTACAGAACAGAGCAAGCATCAATGGCAATCAGAAAATGACATTGATTAATCAGATACAACATAAAAAGTAGGAGCTGTGGTGGAGGTGGGTTGCAAAAAGGCTTGTAGAGGAAGCAGCAAAGATTAGGGGTGGGCGTATCGATCTACATATCGATAGTATCAATACAAGATGAGTATTGGTATCGGATCGATACTATCATGATGAGATCGATACTTTTGTTGCAGTTTCATGCGAGCGCAGCGTCTCTCCAAGTCTGTGAGCGCCGCTCCCGTCACAGCGCAGAGCACAGCCAGGCAATCAGCTGAGCCATCAGCTGATGTGTGTTTACGATTAGCTGTGATCAGCTGATGTAGCTGGAATTGAGAGCTGAGCTTGACTTCGTGGTCTGCCTGAACTAACACTGTCCTTAATGTGTGGACAACACAGTGAAACAATGGCCTCCTAGCTGGCAAGCAACACTGTCCAGGCACAGACAGGTGAGAAAGACGTTCAACAGGTAAAGTCATGGCAGCAGTATCTCTGTGTGAGCTCTTTAAAGTGGCCGTAACTGATTATTATAATAATTTATTACAGGACAATGTGATAGTGACCAGGTGTCCCACTTTATGCGGAATTGCACAGAATCTCCATCCCTTGTCCCACATATTGACACGATGTCCCACATTCTGATTGGCTCTAGTTTTCAAATCAATGAAGGACAGATGCTTTTCTAAAATCATTTTTTTATCCAGTGGCTGTGAAAAGAGCCCGGCAGGAATTACAAGAAAAGGAAACTATCTGCAGTTCCCTTCAGCTTTATGGGGCTTTATGGTGCGTTTCAGCTCATTCTCTAGCTGGTAAAGTGTGAAATACCACTGTACACTACCTGCTCAGCACAGACAGACAGTTAGCGACCAGCTGATGAACATAGTAGACCAAAAACAGCTAAAAGAGAGTGAATATTGGACTTACGTTCATCATCTGGACTTCAAATGAATGATAATGTTGCTCCGTATCTGCTCGATGTGTAAATAAGTCAATGCTAATAAATTCAACATATAATTTTGAAATGTGATGATGTTAGTGTTGTGTTCTGTTCTGTTTACACTGCCCAATCATATATATTACACATTTAAATATCATATCATGATCCCTTCAGAGGTTGCGTTTTTAAAAGCTACAAGTTGTTCATTATTAAGTGGTAGTAAAAATGCCAGTATTATTATGCTGTGTCATTTTAAGAAAAAAGATTACTCAAATTTGAATTCATTGTTGTACGTTTACCTGTAATGTACCATACCATCAGGGAACTTACCTCCCCTCTAATAACTCCTAATAACTAATTCCACACATTCGAAGGAGAAGCTAATGGAAGGAAAATTCCATCTATTGTAGACTGCATGAAGCCCACACAATAATGGCTGACTCAAGTGAAAGTGGTTGAGGGACTGCTGTGTACACATTTAGGCCCAGAATCTCTCTCATTTTCAATCTCCATCTCATTCTGTTTTTTTCTATCTCTCTCCATGTCTCAGCGCTTTGAGAGTTCAGGATAATGCAGATGTATCAAAGATGAAGTCCCTGGGTGCTTTGGGTTTCAAAGACACCATGTGTTTCATATACTCTGTCTTACTGTAGATTTGGTTAAAGGATAAATCCAACATGGACTTTATTTTCAGAGTTTTGGCAATTGTTCCAATCAGTTGTAACACTGTACCCGTCACAGTACATTCATTCGGAGCTATGGGAACACGGCAACAGGGCAAGAAACAGCAGTCAGATGATCAGACGGGTTGTAAACAAACGGTTCAGCCAGATTGTCTAAAACACTTTGGAGATAAAACAATGCGAATGCACGCAAACTGTTGGTAATAATCCCTCATTGGTCAGGACCACTGTTTGCTCAGACAACTACAACAAAATTGTTTGAGTCAAAATTTTACTCTCAGCCTTTCCTGCTCTTGCCTAGCCAAAATGTTAGTTGACTGTGTTTACTGCTCCGTCCGACTTCTTTTTAGCAATGTAGCCACATTCCGCAATGGAGAGATTCCCACACCTACAAACATAAAATCCCAATTGTAATAAACTGGAATCTAAAATACAGTAGTAATGGATGAGTTCAGCCTACAGTAGTGTAGAATTACAACAAAAAAAGGCTTTGATGGGTAGATGGACTGTTCATCAGTTGCCCCATCAGTTTTTTTAGTTAGTTTCACTGTCAATAGTGACATGGCTCATTATAATCTCAGTTGTATATTGTAAAAGACTTCATATAGTCGAAATCTACGCCACTTTCCTATCTTCAGAAAGACCACGTCCCCTTTTGGGTGAAACGAGAGCTGGCTTAAAGCTGCTGAGTTTCATTTTGCATGTCAAACAATAAAAAAACCCAGTTTATGGTTTTCTTTACTTCCCCAAAGAGCAAAAGACAGTAAAAGAAGAGATCTGTGGCTTCAGGCCGTCTGCTGTTGTTTTTCATTATATAACTACACGGATTGTTGATTGGCAATGACATAACATAATTGTTCGCCTGCCTGGCCATAGGATTTATATAGCTTAAGAGAAATACAGCATTCTTATTGTATGCGACTGAAATGGAAAAGGACAGTCACTCACTCAATAATCAGGCTTTAGAAATAATTACTGTAGCTTGTTTTAGCATACGCTCTATAGGTTCTATTGCAATGCTAATATGTATTGCTAAATCTCACCCAAACACTGTCTCTATTATCTCATGCAGGATATAGGTTTTCTGTCAGCCTGTAATGCACAATTTATTCTGTACGTGTCGTCAGTGAAATTACTAGATTTGGATAGTGTAGTCAGTAAATTCAACAACATTAGACATTATCACTTGTGCATAGTGTTGACAATCAGAAAAAACTATACAGTCCCTGTTGGCATTGTGTTTCTGTGACAGCCTATGATAAGAGGAGGAGGGACAGTGCTGGCTGGTAGTTTCCTAACCTCGTTGCATGCTTCTATACCACTGGTATATTGAGCCATCAGGCGAGCAGTGCAATTTGCAGAGAACATCATCTTCTTTGCACCCTTCAGTTCACAGGAATTTCATCACCCAGAGAACAAATGCGTTGATGTACAAAAATACATTTATTTGAAACAATTTCAAAATGACAGTTTCTTTACCGTAGAAATATCGAAATGAAGATGAAACAGAACATTACTGATGATGCATGCATTGTAGATTTTTGTGCACTGAAGAACATTACAATGCTTATGCCTTCTGAAACATCACGAAAGCAAGAATCTCTTTCATTTGTCAAGTACGGATACCCCCCGGAGATATGGTTCTTACAGTATAATGTGGCATTTAAGGTATCGGATGAGATGGCAATTTCCAGTGATCAAAGTTGTGATTGAATGAACAATGAGGAAATCACCCAGAGTGAATTTCTTTTACTGGTGACGGTTCCAGTGTGTCTGTGCAGATATAAAGCACAACATTTCAGTAGCTATTCTTCATTGAAAGACTCTTAACTAATGACTAATTCTAACCCAGCAACAGCTGCTACAAAGCATTATGACCTGCTTATGAACCAGTGTGGTCGTCATACATTCTTTCCTATTTCGGTCCAAGTGGGAAAAAAAAACACAACAAAAGCATGATTTGAGTACAGCACAAACTTTTTGATAGTTCTTTCTGTTTTGCTCCTAATCCTGTTTTGCTAAAACAAATCAGAACAAAGTCACACCATCAAAGTTCCCCCCCAAAAACAATCCAGCCAAGCTAACAACCGTTTGTTTATCATGTGTGTTGAATACAACAAAGCTTTGAAACAATCTTTGTTCGATGTGTATTTTGTCTGCAGTAACAAGGCTTGGCTGTTTGGTTTTAGATGAGAACGCTCCATTCGAGGTAATGTGACAGCCTATATCTGTATGCGGTGTTCCCCTGCCCCTCTCGCTTCTAACTTCAAGTGCTGTTCACTTGAGCTGAGCATTGTGGGAAAACTCTGCATGGGACATCGTCTGCTCAGCTGTCCAGATTTCTCTAAATAGCATCATCCGGGACACCGGGAGGCGAGTGGGAGTCGAACCTAGGACGCTTCGCTTTTGTAGGACTGGTGAACACAGCATTGGTGGAGAGTTGCATGCTGGGAGGACACTACTCCCTCATTTCAAACTTAATGCAAAGCAACGAGTCAAGTGTTTGGTTGTGAAAGCGGACGGATGTACCAGAGTTTGGATTAATTACATTAGCCCAACTGAGATTGTATAGAACAAATTATTCCAGCCTTGACATTTGGAGTTTTGTCAAATGAAAATCAAATGTTTGTGAGACTATTTTAGCTGTATAAAGACAGCGGCAGCAAGGGCAGAGGGGGCAAATAATCCTCACGCTCTGTGATAACGGACAAATATAAAACACTCCTTAAACTGCATGGAGCAGACACCCCTAAACCCTGAGCAAAGCACCAAGTAAGAAACACTGCACCAAAGGGGTTCATCCAAGTTACTGTTGTGTCCGTTTATCAACAAAATCTAAATATAATGAATAATACATTTGATCATAAAGACCTCTGTTCTATATTCAATATAGCATGAGCCATGGTATAGCCTCTAAAATACCTATCTTCTATAGGCCTACTTAGAGTTGGGTTTTAATAGCATTAAACACGAGTGAGTAACAACATTCAAACATGACTAAAACTAAACAATTAAATTTAGATCTGTAACCACCTTTTGTTTGCTGAGAGGGCAGAAACACTAGATTTTAGAGGGAGTCTAATTAGTGTAGAGACCTAAACATTAGTTGAGCTACAGGAGATATGAAATGTTGATTAAAGGTCCAGTGTGTAACATTCAGGAGGATCTATTGTCAGAAATGGAATATAATATTCAGGTATGTTTTCATCAGTGTATAATCACCTGAATTTAAGGATCATTGTGTCTACGTTACCTTAGAGTGAGCTGTTTGTATCATGTCATGTTTCTATAGTAGCCCAGAATGGACAAACCAACAACTAGCTTTTAGAAAAGAGTCACTGCTCAGCTTATCGAGTGGAACTACGAAACCACACAGTCAGCTCTTTCTTTTCTCTCACAAACATTCATGTTTCTCAGGATAAGTTGCAAAATGTTTGGTGACCCCTTAACTTTTCATCTAGTGCCATCATCAGGCCAAAGTTTAATTTTGCCCAGCGCTTTGGTTTCTGACCAAATACCTGCAACACTAATGATATTCCAGTCGGCCTCAGCTTTACTTTGTGCTAATTAGTTTGTGCTAATTAGTGTTAATCAATAAATTGGTGAACACGGTGAACATTCTACCTGATGAACTTGTTGTCTTTGTGAGCATGTTAGCATGCTAGTGTTAGCATTTAGCTCAAAGCATTGTGTGCCTTGGCGCAGTCTGACAGAGCTACTAGGATGGCTGTAGACTCCAAAGATCGCACTGGTTTGCAGAGAGCTCATTAACTAATAGTTTAACGTTTTATTTAATTACATTTTTTCATCAAATGAATTATAGAATTACCATTAATTAGTTACAGAAGATATCATCTGCACCTAGTGGTGTGTGTTATTTCCTCTGCTAATGTTACCTAAATGTGAGTCTACAACCATTGTAGCACCTCTGTGAGGTTGTACTTGCTAACGATAGCCTGCATTCATGCAACACTGATAATGCTAACATGACCGGAGCTGGATGAAAAGTTAAAGTAAGATCATTCTGTTGCTGTTTGTAATGCATCATTCAGAATTGGCCCCCTTCTGCCCGACATTACCGAGATCAAAGCAGTAAATCAGAGAAATAAAATGGAACTTTCTGATTGTTTCACAGCAGGAACGGTCTAAAGCACCTCTGCACAATCTGAACCAGAGTGCCTGTTCATTTCAGAGCAAAGTTCTTGAGATATTTCGATATTGTCAATCGACTGAAACTGACTAAAGAGAGGGAGGAAGAGGGATAATGGTAAAAAAGTTTAATAAGAGCTTTACCCAGCAAATTTTGGTATTTTGCCAAACAGGAACTGAATCCAGCTGTCACACCCAACCCTAAGCCTCCTGGTATTTTAGAAGATGTACACGACCTATACTATCACATTTTCTGTTTTGGAATGAATGTCTCCTAATGTTTCTCCCAACGTGTGAATTTGATCACTGGTAGCCACAATAACTATCCATAATAACTGATTCAGCTTTGGTTCTGGGCCAAATCTGAACTATCAGAGCCATTGTCTTAGAAGCAGACTGTAATGAATTCAATGATGCCAATGGCAAATACAGTTTAGACTGTTTAAAGACTGTCGTCTATGTAAAAAGGTCTGAATATCTATTGTATACGTCTAATGAAAATATAAATATATTGAACATGGTCATGTTCATGTGTGGATCCTTTTCATTTCATTTCCAGGGAAATGGAGGGAAGGAAGATCTGTAATATACCAATTCTACCTGCATTAACAGATATCACCCTTTACAATATCGCCCAACGGTAGCTGAAGAAAATGAGAGCAAAAACAGAAAATCGCTTGGGCTTTTCTGATGAATGATTAGAAAAGAACTATTTACAACACTTGCTTATCTACAACACAGAAATCGTGTCCTCAATAAGAACATGCACAAGTCAAGGACCTAAGCAAAACAAATGTTGATTTCTTTAAGTAATGTTTGACTTTTTAAACACACTTTCAAAAAACAGACCAATGTCAGATCTTCTGTCGTCGCCATGGTACTCAGACTACGAGCATGTAGAAAGTAATAATATATACATTTAACGGAACAGATGATAGTATTGTACATTTCAATAATATTCCCTGTTTTATTGAAGACTCAGACATTATAGTCTATATATAGGCAGAAATGATTTTCAAAGCAAACTCATTAGGAAATTTACATAACTCTTCATAGGTTCTGACGAAAGATATTTCACTCTGCAAATGAATGGCGTTATGTAGCTTATACGTACATCCACAAAACTGATAAGTTTTGCCAGTAATTACAATGATCTCGTTGAATAAATTGACATTTTCTGCATGGATGTTGTTGAACGAGGCATCCGTGCAAGTCTGTATAAATGAGGTCCCTTAGAAAACTATTAACATCAGTTGTGTTGAGAATTACAAAACAGAAAAAGAGAACCCCCGACACTGTGATACTTCGCTCTGTACACGAACCATCGCTGCTCTCCTGCTTTACACGCTAGTACAGTTTGGAATCTCCCTTGTGCTCTCGCAGGCATTTCCGACTCCCCCTAAAGCAGAAAAAAATTAAACAGAAGAAGAAAAACAAGCCAAGAACAAAGATAGTTAGTTAAGATGTTGGCACTTTAATGCCTGTAAAACAAATAACTTCTTTGACATTGACACCTCATGGTAATTACTGAAATTCCAATGTGTTGTTTAATCAAAGGCTCTGGAACTGTAAAGTAGCATGAAAATTAGAAAATGACCCATTATGAATCTTTTTGATTATGATACTCTTACTTTAATGAACCGGCACAGACAGAATTTTAACACAACATTAAAGCCTTTAAATGTATTATTTCTTTGTTGTATGTTACTGAGAGAAGCTATTGATATAAAGCACCGCAGTGCATGATTTGAATGACTGTTCGCTCACTCAGACTGTGCACTGCTGAGCTCAACAATCAATGCACAAATGAAAGGGCACCATAAAGGTCAGTTTTTTGGTCAAGAGTATTACTTACCCCACTGGTTCCCAACCTTTTTCCTTAAGGGACCCCTTTTTTTAAAATCTGACTAAACCGATGACCCATCACAAAGTGACACATTTTATAAATATTTCATATTATATTCACAGCAAATTATTTCCTGCAAATATTGCATCAGTCAGAAACTTTTTAGACAATTCTCTGTCTGTATTAGGTTTTTTTTTTAACAATTATACGCACGTCTTCAAAGTTTAGATCTTAAAAAGTTATGTTTTCTTACATCTTTAATTTAAGAAGGCATCGCGACCCCCCATGAAGCTCTGGCGACCCCTAGTGGGGGTCCTGACTTTTATAAGCATACATTATGCCTTCTGTGGCTCTGGATGAGTTTTCTAAAGTCTCAAACCCTGATGATGTTACAGGGACTGTGATAAATGCAAAATCTAGATCTCACTCAATTAACTTAACTTACTAAACAAATATATCGTATTGCTTACAGTATTGCAGTATATCACAATTAGGAAGGTAATGGAACACCAGACTCTTGATGTAATACAATTAACAATACTGAGTTCATAATATGATTTTTTTTTCAGGATCTTTGTTTTACAAAATGAGGTTTAAGGCAAATTATTATATTATAAAAACATTCTCAGGCAAAAATCTACAAAATATATTTTCACCTATTTGTTCTTTATCAAATTAAAAAATCCCTTTTTTATTTTCACGTTTGGATATAAAATGTGCAAAACTTTTTGTGAAGAGAAACTGATATATGATATCATAATTCATTTTTCATGTCACCGATTTGAATCGCAACACAATCGTATCGCAATTTAACTGTCTTGTGATGTATCGCAATATATTTATTTGTAACCCGTATCGTGATACGTATTGTATCACCAGATTAATGCCAATACACAGCCCTAAGCACTATTAATGGTCAAAAACTCCATAGGGTACCTTTTTTATTTTTGGAGGAAAATAACACATTTGTATCACTGTTGCCTCCTGACTGTGGAACAGTTCAACCCTCACAGAGATAATTCTCTTCTTCATCCATTTTTGAATCTTGTCTTTTTCCTTTAAAATTGAGAGAACACATTTCTTAATGCAATTACGTGATTGTCTTTATTCTATTCTATCTAATATGTATTATTACAACTATATCATTGTAATTCTAAATGATGTTAGTGTACAGTATTTTTTTTCTTCTCAGTATAGCACTCTGGTAGGCATTTATTTTGATATTTTCCTGTTCAGTATGAGCCACAACCACCATAAAGTCATGCCGCTACTGGGGTTTTACAAAGGACCGAATCTACTCTGTGGAGGATTACACGTTGTATGCAAAATACAATATTGGACACTGAGCTGAATAACAATACATAGCTGGAAATTAAGCAGAATTAAGAAGGCTCTACACTTATTCAGAATTCTAACACCTAGTTCAGAATCAGCTAGCTCTCCAAATTGGGGAACTACAGGAGCTTCATCTGTCCTATAAACTATCTTGGGGCCAAATAAATCCAGGAACTGCACTTGCCAGATGACCTGCACTGCTTCCTGGTGCTGAAGCTGCCATACAGACTCTGTGCATCATATAAGGTCAGAGTGAGCAGGGTTCGGCAAATTTGCTGTTGTTCATCCTAGATTGAAATATTAGTTTTAAACAAGTCATAGTCCGACCCAATAGTCAAGTGATTAAGGCCTTTGCCTCTGTGCTCCTGCTGGACTATCCGATCCTGAGGCTGCATGCTTAAACATGTTGGTTTTATTAATTATTCATTGTTCTCTTTCCTGCAAGGCTTGCTGGAATCTATTCTTTACTATGTTAAAACCCTTCCAGGACTGTCTGTGCTCTGCAGTTCCCTCTGCTTTCCTCTGTCTGAATAATTAAAAATGCTAAGAGGAGATTAAGTTGCCAATTCTCTGTTTAAAAAATAATTCAAATTCAATAGCTAAAGTATGCCTGGGAGGGTTAATCAGCACACATTTATTCTGTTTATTACCATGTTGACTTTTATTCCAAAACTGTCTCCAAAACCAAAGAAACAAATGCTGTCTCAGATCAGGAGACCTAAATCCCTTTTAAGGAACTGTTTTTACAATAGACCTTTTTCTCAGCAGCCATTTTGACATGAAATAGTAGGATAAACACAGGTTTTATGATGATACTAATTAGGGCTCTGTTCCATTTAGTGTAGCAGAGTGAGCCAACATACAATAGCAGCACCCTGACTCTGTTTGACCTGAATGGAACAGAACCATAAGTATAATTTGTAAAACCTGTGTTTACCCTAATATTCCATGTCAAAATGGCTGCTGTGAAAATGTCTATTATCAGTGATGTCAGCAGGTAAAGATTTTGACTGATTCATCATTTAACCGCAATACGAAAGCTCTTCACTTACTTTTGACTCTGGCGTCCAGTTCCTTCTCCATGAGTTCTTTAGATGTGGAGAACTCACTCAGAGTGATTTTAGGCGTGCTCTCACCCTGGCCCACCGAGCCGATCATCTCCTGCTCCTTCTCCTGGTTCACCTCTGCGTATATGTTGATCCAGGGTATTTTTCTAAATGATTTCGAAAAGAAAAAGAACAACCCTCAGAACGCTGGAAAACCATCTCTGTGGAACATTTTTCAACAATCTTTTTTGTCCAAGTCATTATTTTCACAACTGTGAAAGATGTAACTTTAAGATAAACCTTTTTTAACAACCTCCGCTAACCTCAAAGAAAAACTTTGTGCTATGGGCATGCCAACTTCAGCCTGTTGTTTTGTCTTTAATTCTACCCCAGTTACTAATTTATAGGCAAATTACAGTAACACTGGTATCTTTTCCCATCTGCATTTATAACACATAATATACATCTTTATTTAGTCACTATCCAATTAATTTCCAATTACTATTAATTTGGGTTATTAATTGCTCTGTTTTGTCAACTGTGAGATTTCTTGAAAAATGCATCCTCTTTAGACTAATGGGAAAAATTTCATATCCATAATTAATGACAGCTTTTCCATTTCCCTCCGACTTTTCAAGAGAATCATTTTGACTATGAATAATTTATTCAGCAAATAACAGCCGAGGCACAGCAACCGCATATTAAACAATTTAATGGCTGTTTTCTCTGCATTTTATCACTGATTGGTGCGTGTGCCTCATGCATTGGAATCCTGCTAGAAGTTTGTCTGCAACCTCGGCAGGGACTTGTCAAATGAGATTTTCAAACAGGACTGTGATTGATCAGTCCAGACTGTGCTCATCTGGTATCATCAATAATGGATAACATGGTAATAGATATATACTAGGGTTCTATATGATCGTGCTGTATGTGCAGCAGGTGGAAGTAATCACAAAGATGTGTACCTCTTGAATTTGTAGATGAGGAACACTGCGAGGCCCAGGAACACCACTGATAGGAGCATTAGCATGGCTGAGCTGCTGTGTCTGGGGTTGGAGTCCACCAAGGGTGCTGTGGGAGCAGGAGAGATTCTATTGTTGTTACATGTGCTTTAATGTTTGAACCTGCCCACAAGAGCCATTTGGGTAAATCTGGTACATTTATACACTGATGTAAATTCATATAAAGAGTCCCTGATAATAGGTAAACTTAAAGGTCCAGTGTGTAACATACTTTTAGGAGGATCTAGTGTATAATAGAAACGAAGAAAATAAGAATTGTTGTCTTTTTGTTACTTTAGAATAAGCTGTTTTTATCTACAAAGGGGGCAGGTGTTCTACAGTCTGCCCTGTTACTACTGTAGCCCAGAGCTGAGTTTCTCCTACACGTTTGAAAGGGGAGGGTGAGGTGAAGGGGCTTTAATATACAACAACACCACTAAATGTCACTAAATCCTACACACTAGTCCTTTAAACCTCCAATAACTGTGGCCCCTGTGGAGAAAAGCAGTACTGTTTCTACCACCTTGTTTCATTAATTTTAAGGAAAATCCAACCTGGTAGCGTTAAGTATAACTACATATACATAGCCAGTCCTCCCACTGCTGTTCTTTTGTGTTTGTGAAGGTCATATAGAGACATCAGTATTAAACTGAGGCTGTTTCATAACCAATTAAAAGCTCCTTCTAGTACGTTCAAGTATATATTTACTGTATGTGTACTATAAGTGCTTAGGCAGTTTAGCAGAAGATTTGACATTGTGTTTAAAACATTTCTTTTTAACTGGTTTCTGTCAACATACAAATTGCAGTTTTTCTCATTTTCCTGACTGCACATTCACATCAACTCTGCTTCTGAAATAATATAAAAAGCCAGCAGATGCATCCCACTGCTGATTATGAGCACTGTATAGATACACAACAATGTGCATTATGAGATGATACCCTTATTTTTTAATATCTCAAATGTCTTAAGTTGTGGCAGCGTGAAATTGCTCTTTCTATTGCTGGGCAAAGGAGGTGACAGCAGCAGGTAATTCACACATCTCAGGTGGATTGGAAATGGTTAAATGCACTTACATTTATCTCAAACGAGAACCCAACCAAACAAGCAATTACTATGATTAATGTCACAGCACATGCTTTTGCTCATATGGCGTCCACCTTAAACTCCTCTCATTATTTATCAGTTTCCAGTGTTGCTGTACTACTCCCGAAGCCCCTCAGATCAGAGACGGCGGCGCGTATGCTGCTGACCTTTCTCAAGCAGCTTGAAGGCTTTTTAGACCTTTTCTTGGGAGGTGAAATATAAAGAGGGATCCAGCTGGGTACACCTCCAATGTCATTAGAGCGCAGAACACCACAGACTGTCACAGAGCAGCACATGCCAGGCTGTTAATACCTGGCACTTTGAGCTACAGACAACTCGTGGCTGTGTGCCTCCAGAGACTGTGCGCCTAATGAAACCAGCCAAGCAATGAATACAATGTAAGATCTGTCCAGCAGTGGGACACAAGTACCAAGGACTAAGCCAATAAAAAAAAAGTAGAGTTTTCCAGACCAGGCACGTTATTTACAATCAATCTGCCTTCATGAATCCAGCATCGATTTGATACTTATAACAGCAATTTGTTTCTTGGCAGGAGTGCATTTTGAATTTCTCAATTGTCAACCAACCCTCCCCTTTTCCAACAGTTAAGAACCGAACAGTGTCGTTGACTCTTCAGTTCTGAATTCTGCCTCTGACCTTAAATTGTACAGTGTTCTTTCTCAAGGACTAAATAATCAACATAATTATACTCAGTGTAACACTCATTTTGTGGTTGGATGGCTATAAAAGAAATAGAACAGATGTTCAGCTTTTGATGGCAGGCATAAAAGATCCCTCGTCTCAAGGAGCTCCACTTAAAATCAAACCCCTCCCATACTCCCCAGTGTTCTTTTTTCCTGGTATGGAGGTAGACTGACAGGAATTTTAATTGGCAGACCAAAGAAAAATTTGTGTTGTCAAAACATGGTTATTACAGTTCTCTTTCTTGGCACTTCTCAATGAAAAATTGAAAATGCTAAGGCATAATTAAATTACCAATGCAAGTTAATATTATGGTTGATAACTTAATGGCAGTATTGAAAGCAGTGGGACTGAATGTTTCTTACCCAGTGTTAACTGTGTGTTGTACACAATCACCCGCACACCAGGCTTCAGCTCGAATTCCACCAAATTTTGGTTCAGTGCACTTACAATAATATCCGATACCTGTTAAAACACATACAACATGGTGTTTTACATTTTAATAGAAGTTGCAGTCATCATTTTTTATGTATAGCATGGGCTCCAGCCCCGAATGTTTTCCCAAAATCACAGAATTGTTTAGACTTTTAAATAACTTAAACTTGTCTCTCTGACTGGACCTGCAAATTAATTGAGCAAAAGTTCTTTTACTGAGGAAGTATCACCATTTAATTGGTCTCTTCTGTGTGTCTGTCAGGGACTTTGACTGGGGTGTCACAAGGGGGGCACTGACTTATGCAGGGGTGACATTAAGTATGTGTCTCAGCTTTCCAGTCATTCCCAATTTCAACACATTAATGGACCCCAGTATACAGAAATATTCAAATAGACAAGGCGGAAATAATTCATTTATACCACATGCAAAAAACTGCATGTATCTTTCCCCAAAATGAATGGGATTAGAATAAGGTGGGCATGTCTGCAAAGGGGAGACTTGTGGGTACCCATTTTCATTCACATATCTTGAGGTCAGAGGCCAAGGGACCCCTTTGAAAATGGCCATGAAAGTTTATTTTTGCCTTATTTTTGGAATGTTATTCAGCCCCATTACTAACATTAACATTTGTTCTGTGATGAAGGCCGTTGGAGAACACTTATATGCCGTAACTGGGGATAAAATAACCCCAAACCTCCAGGGTTTGGGCTCCGCCCCTCAAGTATGGAGTATGGAGCATTCTATTTAATAAGATTTCAACAATGTGTGATACAAAATCCAACCATAGTCGCCCCCACCTGCTCTAGTTCCTCATCGCTCTTTTTCTTGCCCTCTGATTGGTTCTTGTGAGGCAACAGGAAGAGCTCAGCAGCTGTTGGAACTCCGGGGAACACGGCTACCAAGAGCTGCTCCTCCGGGAAGTCAGATACCTGTGACAAGGCAGAAATATTCTTTATCAACAGTGATTATTACAAATAGCTCCATCAGTTAAAAACATTCCCACAAAATCATACAGTTACATCGGTTCAGTCAACCAGCTCGTGTGGAATGGATTATTTTGTGAATGTAATGTATGTACTTCGCTGGGGAGTGACGGGTATCTGACCTTCCCACATGGAAGCACAGAGCTTGGCACAGCAGGGAGTGGGGAAGTGATGACTTCCCTACTAGAGGAACGTAGACTCAAGGACACCGCCATAATCAAAAGGGTGCCTGGATATACAGTGTAGCAAGTAAGTGTAGTAAGTGTAGCCACAAACTTGCGTTTACTGTCTGAACTAGTTCTCAGTCTTCACTTCATTCGATGCGTGGCAGCCAATAAAACAGACTAGTTTATGTATAATGATTGTTACCAAACAGATTTCATTCCAAGTGAGCAACATGTGCTTTACATTAAAATTCAACTATTAATACTTTATTTTGAGAAAACGGCAGGATTCAATACAATGTTCCGTGAAAAGTTACTTTTCAGTCTTAAGAGAGAACTTAATTATGTACTCAAACTCTCAGTCAAGATATAATTGCCTGCCTGTGAGCCCCTGCTGGAGGCTAAGTGGTTGTATACACTCAGCACTTAAGCAAGAAAAGCAGCAACGGTACAGGCATTGGTGAGAATCTTCAAGGAGCAGATTTATTCACTCTCCTCAGAAGTTTTTGTTGCATTCATGTTTTTCTTGTGCCAATACGTGTATTTATGTCATTTAAGTTTTTTCAATTAAGTATGCAATATGTTTTTGTATTTTTCATGAACTTCAAACATATTTTGAGTTACTGCTTAAATTATACAATCTAAACCATTTATGTTTAATAACTCAAACAATTTTAGCATTCCATTTTTTTTTATTTGAGTAGAGCTAAGCATTTATTGTTAAGGTAACTTGGGTAAATTAAGTTAATTGTACCAATTGCATTCAGTTAATTGAAGTTGCACTCATATGCAGCATTTCTCCAAACTTATTTAAAATGCGTGAACAGAATTTATCTGAATAAAGTAACTTAAATCTATCTTCTTTATATAAATATTACCACCAAGTTTTGTCCACTAAAGCAAACTATTACATTACCTGTCAACACAGCTGATGCACAATAAAAACAATTTATAATTGATAATCAAAATGGTAGCCAATTCATTTTCTGTGGGGTTTTTTATGTGACTAACATCAAATCTTTATACTCTGGGGAATCATTAAGAATTATTTAAATGCATACTTGGGCATGTGATGATTAATAAACAAAATTTGAAAAATCATAAGCTATATAGCATTGTAATGCATACATTTTTGTAATTATATAAAGGCAACTACAAGATAATGAGTCAATGGAACAAACTGGAATTATGTTGCCAGTACTTCAAATATTGCACACATTTAAAATGATTTGCTTCAACAATTCATTTTTGTGTTACTTGTCTTGTCTTACTTCTTTTGCTTAAAGAGTATTTTAGTGTGAGTTTTGGGGTGTGCCTTTTTAAGATATAAACTCTGAAACAAATGAGGTAAATACGTTTCAGTAAAAACAGTAAATCAGTGAAATATAATATGTATAAAATCATAAACCTGCTGTATACCCAACTGGTTTTTCTAATTCAATATTAGAGAGACATAACATTCACCAGTGCATTTGTGTTTTAATCAGCCCTCACCAACACCCTGGAACGCTGACATTCAGGGAAATATTTTCGCTCACAACTACAGCTGATATGTTTGTCTCTATGGAGAGAGATGGAGAGGGGGAGAGATGGAAAGAAAGGGTGAAACACAAATAGCAACACAGAGAGAGAGATACAAAGGGACAGAGTGTCAAATCCATAACGACCTTTATGTGGAGGAATGTAAGAACACCCTACTTTTTCAAGTGTAACTTCTTGAAAAAGAGCAGGGAACACTATCGTAAGTTTTTCTTTAACATGTCAGACAGTGTTGTATTGTACAGAAACTGCCTATAAAGGCAGTGGGTCCAGCCATGGCAGTTTAGCCTAAGCACTGTTGATATGGGTCTGGGTCTTGGGGCCCTGTGGATTTCTGATGGCACAGTCCGACTGGGCTTCCATAAGAGTGCTCAGTGGATGCAGGAATGCAACTCTGGCACATTTTACTGTGTAGAGATAACTGTGCAATTGGATATTCCTGTGATATCCACTTGGTTATTGGTTATAGATAGCTGCTGGTGGGCTTTAATAATCAAACTTCTGACATAATACGAAACAGGTTGTAAATCTAGGACACAGGACTTTGGTATCAAAACTAGATGACTGCCTGTCTTTTGTTTTACTGTATTATATAAATGTCCAACGCGTTATTATCCCAGGTCGTCAAATACTGAGACATTTGTCATGCCCCTCGGCTTCTCATACAGACAGACAAGGTACCCTTTAGCAGTGGCGTGCACAGGGTGGGGGCAGCCCCCCCTCGTGGCCCAATTGTTGAAAAATGCATGCTAAAGTGCCCTCTTGGGAGCCAAAACCTGTGTTAAAGTGCCCTCTTGGGAGCCAAAACGCATGCTAAAGGGCTCTCTTGGGAGCCAAAACGTGTGCTAAACTGCCCTCAAGTGCCCTCTTGGGAGCCAAAATGCGTGCTAAAGTGTCCTCTTGGGAGCCAAAACGCGTGCTAAAGTGCTCTCTTGGGAGCCAAAACGTGTGCTAAACTGCCCTCAAGTGCCCTCTTGGGAGCCAAAACGCGTGCTAAAGTGCCCTCTTGGGAGCCAAAACCTGTGTTAAAGTGCCCTCTTGGGAGCCAAAACGCGTGCTAAAGTGCTCTCTTGGGATCCAAAACGTGTGCTAAACTGCCCTCAAGTGCCCTCTTGGGAGCCAAAATGCGTGCTAAAGTGTCCTCTTGGGAGCCAAAACGTGTGCTAAAGTGCCCTCCTGGTTGGCAAAATACACTAAATTGCCCTCGTGGGTGGAAAAAACACTCAACTGCCCCGTTCCAAGTTCTATTATTAGGTAGATGCCTATTGCATGTTTAAGGAGCAGCTACCTCACTACGTCTTGTGGGAATAGCTTTTCAAAGCTAGCAGGTAAAGTTAAAAGTTGGGTTAGCATTGCATATCAGGGTTTCCGCCAGGTTTAAGTTGACTCCCCGCCGGGGTAAGCATCTGGGATCATTTTTAAAAATGCTTTCTTGAAAATGCCTTTTAAACTTCAGCTTGTAAGTTAAGGACAGAAAGTCTTGTTAGTAGGCTAATGCTATTGAGAAGGCTAGCGGCTAATGCTAGCAGCTAGTTGAGAGAGAGAGAGAGAGAGAGAGAGAGACCAGTGTGACGATCAGCTAAGTAGAACAGAGCTGGGTGAGCAGTATAAACTGTGAATGTAGCTTTAGTGTATATTAGGATACACTTTGCAATAAAAATAGATAATGCAGTCAAAGCAGATTCCCTGAATTTTGTGAAGGCTAGATACATTTAGGCTAGCTAATTTGAATGAGCCGCAATGTATTCCACGGAGCAGTAAATGTGTCTCACACCTTTTCAACAGCTATGGCTTAAGCTTTGATATTGTTTTATTTTAATTCCATTTCTTTTGTTGCTGTTGAAAACACAGCATTCAGGAATGAAAGAATGCACATTGTCTGATTCTCTATAAGACTCTTCTTGAATTGTTGATTCTTTAAAATGTGTGTTGAGTAAATACAATTTATAACATTAGCATAGCATTATGTGGCCATATCTTAAATTCTCCAGTCAGCTTTTGGAATTTTGCTTAATGTGTTTCTTTTGAGTTGTCAAATCATTAGTTTAATGTGTATTGTTCCCTGTGTGATTTTATCACAGAGCCCTCTTGGGTGAAGAAAATACATTAAACTCCAGAAGACTATTAGGACCAAGAAATACTATGACACATTACTGTTACAATGACTTTAATGTTGGGCCCTTTGTTGATCTATATTGAGCCAGAACTATATCTCACAGAACCAGTTTGGATTATCTGGTGCTAATATGGTGTTAAAATGCACTAGAATACAGGAAATGGCATCTACTTAATTTTAAATGTTCCTTGTCAGTTAGAAAATGATCCTTTTCAATGGCTAAATAAAGCATTTACAAGCTTGTTAGCTTGAAAATACAGCCACAAATGAACAAACTGAAAACAACACACACATTTTTCTTAGCTTAGTTTATCTTTTGGACAATGATTCTCACAGGACAGTGGCCTATGGAAAGGTTACAATTAGCTACTATATATAAATGTCCTGACACTCTTCAGGCATCTATATTTGAGACAAACAAAATAGAGCAATTTGGTTAAAGTTTTCTGGCTTCATCTCAGTTTCTGAGGATGGCAAAAGATTATTTTTCTTTCAATAAAAAACGCGAAGGCGAACAAATGCTTCTGTTTTTGTTTCTAGAAAAGCATTTTTTAAGCCTTTAGTTCTTAACCAGTTTATACAGGCAAGGGAGGCAGGGCCTGGCTAGTGATCACTCTTCATTTTAGAGCCTGTGATGTTTTTATGTTTTTTCAGTAGCCTGGGCGGACAATGGAGTGGGTATAGCCAAAGCACATCAATTATCAAGCACAGAAATCACTATTTGAGTACCAAAGTAGTGGACAAATGATAACCGTGGGCATGACTTGCAATGAGAGAAGGGGCGGCCGAGGGGGAGATAAAGTGAACGGGATGACAGAAGAGGCAATAGCCCCTGAAAAAAAATCAATACACTTTGACCATGTTTGTTCTCACTGCAATCAGTCATTAGTTTAAAAAGCTGGCTGGCTTCTTTAGAGTGATCCCTTTTGATGCTCTGCAAATTTACTACTGGATACAAAAATCAGATTGGGATGGCAAACCGAAAGAGAAGTTAGACAGTAAAAGACGAAGACGAGGTTACCTGCTGCACCTTTTATTTGAAGAAAATGCTATTTGAAGAAGATAAGCTCTCAAGGGACGAGGGAGAAATGAAGCCGCATGCAAACTGAAAGGTATTACGCCTCAACAGATAGAGCACATAGTATTTATGCATACAAACCGCAGTTCTTCTTCTATGTTCTAGTTTAAATTTAATTAGCAAATCACCATAAAGAAATTACAAGTGAGGCTGATGGGAATGTCATTATTTTTGCAGGTATTTGATCATACATCAACATATTGGACAAAGAAACTTTTGACCTGATGGCACTGGATGAAGTCAAAGGTCCAGTGTGTACTAACATCTGATCTCTGATCATATAAATTGATGCTAATGCTTACCCTAGCTTATGTGTTTATAACATAAATCCTGACATTAATTGAAATCCCAATTGTGTTTCACTTACTGTGAACCCAGTATGCATTCCTGTCATCTGAGACTAAGTTAATTATCAACTCTACATTTGTTGAATTGAAACAACAAGATGAAAATATCACATTACTGTGCATGATTTACCAAGCATCAGCTGGATGAGAAAGTATTCCGGTGCCTTTGGGGAAGCAATAAGAAGATGATAGCTTGATGGCTTGCATTAACCTTCAAGGGAAGCTATGGGGGAGTATGAACATTGTAAACTGTGTGAGTTTGAACTGATAAACGTTAAGGGAATATGAGAGGGAGGCAGCTGAAGATAGACAGAGTGGAATTAAATAACCTCCATTACTGAATGTGCATTCACGACCAGGAGAGGCAATGGCATCAAAATGAGCCTAGGTGAAGAGTGCAAAGTCATGACTGGAAAGATTTAGGAAGAGGGCTACACGGCACGGCAACTCAGTTAAATGGACCTTGACTTTAATTGCACGTTGTTCCCTCTCTCATCTTCTGTTTTATTGTTGGGGAGTTGTTTACTATGTTGGGAAGCCATCAGTTGTGGACCGGCCCCCTGTCTCAAGCAGTTCTCAACCATAACAAAATAGGGAAAAATAACCCCTCCTGTCACCGCTTGGACAATATGTCTGTCTGGAAATGAACTTTGTGTCAGCTCCGGCTTCATAAACAGATCTAGAGCCCTTTCATATGGGTAGTGGCTGATTTCAAACTCTAACAGGATAATGTGAGAAGATGAATACAAACAAAAGTGACACATCAGCCACTATCCACAAGTGTAATGTAATAAAAGAAACACATTGGAACTGTCACCGTTTTCACCCACTGTTCCATTTTAATACTTCACTTTAAGGGAGACTCTGTAAGATGCTTACATACTGTAACCCCAGTTCTATGATGACTTGTAGCAGGGGCACCTCCAAGGGGGAGCCAAAGGGAGCCAGGGGAAGCCATGGCACTTCTAGAACAATTGCTGGTCTCCCCCACTGCACCACCACAAGCTGCATAAGCATAATATGCTTCTGAGTAATGAGCACTGTATGCATAATTTCCTTCTGTCTGATATTTTACATTAGTCATTTAAATCATTAAATTAAATTGAATTAAATTGTGTATAATTAAATCAATAATGTGGCCCTAATGTTCTCTATTGTTTATTGTGGCACTAAAACTCATGTACTCATGTGCATGTACCTCAAATTTAAAGGTCCAGTGTGTAACATTTAGGAGGATCTATTGGCAGAAAGGTATGTTTTTGTAGTATATAGTCACCTGAAAATAAGAACTGTTGTATTTTTGTCACATTACAATGAGCCTTTTATGTCTACAAATGGCATAGGGTGCCTTCCGTGGATGCCGCAATGTTGAAACTCCATGGTTCTACAGTAGGCCAGAAGGGACAGACCAAACACTCTAGATAGGGCGCATCTCACGTCCACTGCAGTTTCTCCCTTGAGAAATGGAGGGTGAAGTGAGTGAGTTGCAATTTGAAACTACACTGCTAGATGCCACTAAATCCCACACACTGGACCTTTAAGTACACTGGGGTTCTCCCTATAAAATAGCCATTGTCAGTATCCACTAATAGGCAAAGTAGGTGTGAGGGGAAAACACGATTCAGAATTAAGATTCTTGTTTTCTTTCATTTTGAATAAATTCACGAATTTGTGATCCTTGTACATTAGGGTTTCTCCAGTTATGGCTACAAAACAAAGAAGATGGAAGTCTGTGCCGAGAACACAGTCAAGTGTAGGTGGTAACTATGATGTAATGGAGGCGAAAATTAGTTGAACCAGACAGCGTTTCTTTTCCGTGGAGGAAACTTGGCATTCCTCACAATAGCATGCAGTGTTTAGTATAATTATTTTCAAGCTGTTACTGTAGTGCACCGTGTGCTAATACACGAAAATGCACATGATAAATGAGCTTTGGGCTACTACTGGTCCCTCATTTCTTTCTTTCTCTGTACATGTTGTACAGGACGTATTAATTAGTAACTAATACTTTTGGGATTTTCATTAAAGGATATGTTCACAAATGTTCAAGTCTTTCTAAAAACAATATTCAGGTGCTCATATAAACAGCAGGTCCTGCTTGCTGCAATCATTCCTCCATATTGTACTAGCCCTAAAGAGATTCATTGCAGAATCAATTTCAATGTAACTGATGGGGGACAAAACCCACAGTCCCCGTTCTGTGTAAAAAATACATTCCACAGTTTATCTGAAGCTCTTCGTGTTACTGTCACTCCACTGCATCTCAGCAAGAAAAGGTTGTCAGGGGAACACAAAGGAGGGAATCTGAACTAAAAAGACTGTAATATTTGAATGTATTCGCTTGATTGGACTGCTGAAACCGCATATTGCGACTCTAAAAGAGAACCACTGGGTTAGGACACTACTTTAGTTCATATTGAGCTTCATGGTGATTTTATTGATTGCAGTTTTTTGGTATTTTGCATGCACCAATAAACACTTTAGCCTGTTGTGAAAATCGTGCAAAGTATGCAGAAGATTAATTAAAGTGACTTGAAACATATTCCTGTCTTCTGCAATAATGTGAACAACACAGCCCCAAGACAAATGGTAACATATTGTCATACAAAAATAAAAACACTTGCGCAGATAAAACAGGTGGCAGTTTTTCAAAAAATCCTGGCACCAGTGTATGTTCTGCAGGCAGTGATTACAACACGAGGCCCTATTAGAATATAAATTTAAGGCACATGCTCGTTATTTCATCCACACACTAAAAGAGTTTGACTGAACTAACACTCAGAACAGTTTCCATGCCAATCTCTGTGATTGGTGAAGTACATAAGCCTTTAATGGCTCGGGAATGCATCAATAAGCCTGGTGATTAATTTAAGATTGAAATTTACACCCTCAGTCGAGTGAGTTCAAACATAAACAAAACCAGTGTGTCCACAGGGTTGTTAATATTGATTCAGTCTAAATAATTTAGCAGAAACTTGTTACTTCTGTTCTTCAGCAACATATTTCTAATTAAAAAGTATCATATGGAAAAACTGAATCTTTTAGTTTTATCAAATTTTCCACTTTAAGGGTCCAGTGCGTAACATTTGAGGATCTAGTGGCAGAAATGTTTTCATTAGTTTATAATCACCCAAAAATAAGACTTGTTGTGTTTTCGTTTCAGTTTTTATCAACAGATGGAGTGGGTCCGCCATTTTGAACTGCCACGTTTTAAAAGTAGGCCAGAACAGACAAACCAAACACTGGTTCTAGATAGGCTTTTTCAAGAGTTTCGCAGCCACCGTAGTTTCTCTTTCTCGCTTGTTTGAGTCGAATGCCTTAAATTGAATGCAATCTGTAATCTCACCGCTAGATGCCACTAAATCCTACAATCTGGTCCTTTAAATGACTTCAAAGTCTAGGAAAAGAGAACTCAATTGGCTCAAAAGCATGGGCCTGCGCTCGTGTTATCTGGGTTATTCACAAGATCCCCCTTCACACATTTAAATATTCCTCCAAAAGCGCCCACCTGCAGCTCTGACACTCAATATGCTGGTAAGATGGCCAAGAGCACAGCACAACCAAATGTGGCCCGCTATTCATGAGCTGTGAATGGGGAGATGAGTAGCACTTAACAATGATGGGTGAGCTTCCCACACACTCTGAGAGCACTTGCACCCCTCCTACATTCAAGTACGCTAAGCGCACACACACACGCAGACGTGCACATTACACAGTGACAGGTATCGTCACTCGTAGGTCCCTAACAAGCCCCCGTGCTTGAAGTTTCTGGGATCCTTTCATTGGTGACTTTTAAAATTAACGAATTGGCACTCATGTAGCCGTCTTGGGAGAGAAGGAAAGCTAAGGCATCTTCACACCTGTCTAATGATGAATCGTGGGGGTGGCCCGAGGGCGTTCTATTGCCGCACCAATGAGCCCAGAGCCTTGGGCAACAAAGGTAATAGGGTTACAGGAAATAATTGAGAAATAGCAGGGTGAGAAAGAAAATAGGAGATAAAAAGACAGGGAGGAAAGGAGCTGAAGACAGAAGGATGGGAGGAAGAGAGTGGGAAGGACAACGCAAATGAAAATCACTCACTTGGAGTAGAGCCTTCTTAATTACTCTCCCCACATCCTGTCTCCACTCGGGTATGTCGGGGTTGAACTCGTCCAGATTAGGGGAGAAAGATAAAAGTAGAGATTTGAAGAATTCTGTTGAGGAGAGTTGGGGGAGAATCAGCCATTAATTCACTCGGATCTGTGGGCATTATTGTCAGGGAGCTGTGCCAACTGTCATTTTGCTCAAGTTGAGTTTCAGGTAGTTAACACTTGATGAAAAGAAGAGGGTTTCTCATATCCCCTGCACTTCCCTTTGGCTAAATGTACCAGATGCACTTCTAGATAATTAGAAAATGTCACTGCTTTACGCCAACCCATCCACTGGTAATAAATCATTGCATTTTACAGATACTTGCTGCCGGATCGTTTCATTTCAAATGAAGACGTATTCTTTAGAGGTTCTAACAGTAATGCGATATATTTTACTCAAGTAGGAGCGGTTTTATTTTAGAAACAATTTACACACAGCAGAATCAGAATATGACATTAAAACGATGTATTCTGAAGTATTTAACTGCTTTTCATGAAACTTTTTGAACATATTAAAAACTACAAAATGCCAGTTGGACAGAGTTCAGGACACAGGACAAAGTTAACAAATACTGACCTTTGACTGCTATGGTCTTGGTGTCCTGCAGTATGGTGTTGGCTGCAGCTACTTGGACTGTGATGGTGTGCATTCCTTCAGTGGGGAAGGTGTAAGAGATGCTCCCGTCCAAGGTTATCACCGGCTGCAAGCACAAAAGATACGGCTGCTAAATGATGCCGCAGTTCTCAATCACGTGGTGCAACTCTTCTCTTATCTTGCCTTCATTGGGGTGTTTGTCCAACACTGAGTCTGGTTTACATACAACAGTGGTGTGACTTACTGTATAGATAATTGAAAACATTGACGTGTTTGGGAGCAATAAGAAATTGAGACAACGAGCGGTAGCCGGCAATGCCTCCACTGTTGTCAGGTTGGCAGCAGCGGGAAGGAGAGAGAGGGCGGCTGCCGCTCTCATGAATGTGTTTTCAGAGTTTATCATATTTCAACTTGCTGCCATGGCTCGTAACCATGGCAACAACAGAAGCCACAGCGAGGGAAACAAGGAGCTGATTTTACAGGTGAACTACACAAAAACAGACAGGTTAATTAAGAGAACAGTGCAGGAGCAAAATCAGCTTCAATCAGATTATCCACTCTGGAACATTAAACAACTTTTATGATACTAGTTAGAAAAACTTGACATATTGGTTGTGCCAACCATTTCCTCTATTTTAAGCTACCATACGCTCTATTTAGCTGCATGATGAGCTCATACTAGGTGGGTAGCAGCAGCCTGTGGCGTACAGGCTGGTAGCAAAAACTGCTCGAAGCTTGAAAGCACCTTTAGTCATGATGAAAAACATCGAAAAATGAAGTTGAAAGTGTACAGTGTTCTAGAAGTCACATGAGCGACTGAAGCAAACTGGATACAACCTCGCACACCACCCGGATTAAATCTATATAGTAGGGATTGTAAGCTTCACTGATTTACATGGGTGCACTTGCATTAAACTCCAAGATGCAATCGCCACGTTTAAAAAAAGTTCCTTGGATATAATTTGCGATGAACTTGGGATGCATTGGATACATTTTTGCATCTGTATAACATGGGTTAAGTGATAATTTACTGATCCCCATAGGAAAATGAATTCTCTGCATTTGACCTATCCTAAGTACTAGGAGCAGTGGGCAGTGGCCAACTCCAGATCTGAACCAGTGCCTTGGTCAAGGGCACTGACTGGAGAATTAACATAATACATGTTTTGATGGAGAGGGGAAACCAGAGTACCAGTACCATACTGAACTGCATAGCATCATATTGTTATGCATCGCATCATGTTGAATCAAATTGTGTCGACTCGCACTGTATCTGCAGTATTATATTGCTAGTAGCTCCAAATGTATCTCTAATGTATCAGATCATTGGTTATGATGTCAATGCATAACCAATAAGTAAGTGGATGCATTGCCAAGTGGCCTCAGTATTTGAGATGCACACCCTACAAGATGAAAAAGGTTTCTTTAATAAAGAATGCTGTACTAGAGCAGTGGTTCCCAACCTTGATTTTTAGGGGTGTAAGAAAACTTAAAAATATCCACAGTAGGCCTATATCTCAGCAATTTAGTTAATTTCTTAAGAAAATGAAAATGAAATGTAATGTTAGATAATTTAGACAGTATGTATGATTGTTAAAAAAAATACATGAGTATAGAATTGCAGAAAAAGAACCTAAAGATTTCAGGAAAAATCATCTCTGATCAGTATTCACGGAAAATAATCTGCTCAAAATTCATCCAAATAGCGTATTTTACACAAAGTTCCTGCAGTTATTGTGTTCACTGTTTATTCTGTATTGTTATTGTTATGCATTGAATATAGTGTGAAATATCCATAAAATGTGACAGTTGTGGGTCTCAAAGATAAAAAGGGGTCCCTGAAGGAAAAAGGTTGGGAACCACTGTACTAGAGATCTTGCTGTATGTTCTCAAAGTTAGATACACTTCTCAGGCACATACTGTATTTCCTGTCTAAAAAAAATCATGTAAATGATTTGCTTTTATACAGACTATGCATTTAAATTACATAGATAAAAGCCAACACACAGTAGCATGCAACAGAAAGACTGAACTGCGTATTCATGAGCCTTGTCCTGGAGGAGTTACCTCTGTATTGTTGCCTAGCCACCAGAAGTAAGTGACAGTCCGTGAGTGGCTGGGTAAGACCACCGCTGTGATGTTCACCTCCTTGTTCCTTATGACCACGAAGGGAGCGAGAAGCTGGACATGCTCCACTGGACCTATGGACAAAACATCACAGAGGAGTTGATATCATGCATGGCTACTTCTAATGAGGCCCACTTGATTTGTGTATGCTTTTGATTCAGTTAAGAAAAACCCAATTGGCAAGATCATAAAACCCAAGATCACGGGGTGTGAAGCTTGTTTGAGGGAGACAAATACTCAAAAACACCATCACTGTATGTTTTGTGTGCTCAGGCTTTCTCCCACAGTCCTCAAAGACCTCAGGTGAAATGATAAATAGTCCAAAGGTGTGAAAGTGAGTCAGCCCTGTGATAAACTGCCGACCTGTCCATGATGTTTCCCTGCATCTAGCACATTCTAGAATAGCCCCCCCCCCATAACCTTAACAGAATGAGTGAATATGAAAAATGGATAGCTGGATGGATGCAAACATTTTGGAAACAAATAAAGCATAAACTCCCAGAAATGATTTTCTCATATTGTTCCCAGATTGTTCCCAGCTGTGCATTAATATGAAATGATGGATGAAAATTCTTTCAGAATTGTCAAATGTACGGACTCTTACTGTATTTTGGGCTTCACTAAATGTGACAGCGTCACATTCATTGCGAAAGATTATTGTTGCTGGACAAATTAGACAGCTGGGGGCTTTTTATGTCATTTTAAAGTGGATAAGAGCGGATACAGAAATAAAACGTGGTAACAAACTAAATTGTACTGCGATGGAATTGTTCTTCCAGTTCAGAGCCTGATTTTCATACCACAATAAATGCAAAGTGAGTCAGACAGACTTTCCCAATTAGACTGTCTGAGCCTCACGCTGGCAGAGATACTGACATTGCCAAATAGGTAAGACATACTGTATGGTGAGACATTTTAACAATGTGCATGTTGTGATGGCAGGAGATGAAAAGACTGTTATCCTGTATGATTGTGTGACTTTTCTTTGTCTCAGATTCCACTTTGTTTTTAAATCTGTCAAGTTGTGACAGTACAATTATTATTAGTAACAATGGCAGTATGTTTTTTATCTTACCCTCATATATTGCAGAGAAAATAATCCTCAAATTGAACATTTTCTCACATTTTTTTGGTTTTTGGACAAATGACAGCAGCCACTGCTTTCTCAGGGTGAAACAAGGTTTTTAAATTCAGCGCACATTTAAGCACATTTTGGTTTGACAAACTGATCAACTTGAACTGTTTTGTTTACCATCACCACAAAATGCATTTTGTTAATGACACTTTAATTGGGTCAGAGTCTCCTACCTGAACCTGAAAAATTGATGATCACAATTTTGGGGGGGGGGTCAATCTCAAATGCTGTCTCATAAAAATTACATTTATAAACTACTAATTGGTGCCAAATATGTTTGGTCTAAATTATTTCATTGGCAATCTTTTTTACAATTCAGATAATATGACATAATGCATGGTAGTCATTTCCTGTTTGGAGTAGGGGTATTTTGTTTTTATTTTGCTCTGAACAATCAGTTAAGTGACGTATCCATCCCACCAACGTCATTCTCAGTTAATGCAGAAGCTCTGGTAGCTAGGAGCAATTAACATTTTTCACAACAAACGAAGAAAGAGTTTGCTGTTATTTCTGTAAGTTGACTAAAGGCATCCTGTAACCTAAGGCTGTCTGGATCTCTTCCACACGTCAAGCCATTTTTGTGGGTGCTTTTCTGTCACCATTTTAGCTACTAGCTAGCTGCAGAGAGATGTGGCCGAGATTATTGGTCCTTCCTACAAAGCTACAATAGTTTTTTTCCCCAGTGGCCACTCACGGTATTGCAGCAAGAAGGCATTTTCCCCATAGACCATCATTATAAAGGAGACATCTGTAAAACTGTTGACATGACACTCCCAACTGCGATGCCAATTATGTCTCTTTTTAGTTTTCAGTTTTGGTCCATGGAGGTTGTTCATTTGTAAAACAGCCCATGAACCGAGAACAGTGAAATCGCAATGTCAAGTCTATGAGCCCAGTGGGTTGCATAACAAGGAAGTAAACCCTGAAGCTAGAAAACGTATGCACCACGGATGTATAAAGAGAACTGGATACAGCGTTGGAGGTGGCGCTCTGTTTATTCCTATGAAAGCTGCTCAGTGGCGCATGAGGCAAAAAAGACACATCCCGCTGCAAAGAAATGACCCGGATGAATGCATACTGTGCATCCTCCGTTAACTTGAATGGGGATAAGTCATTTTGTCTTGCAAATATTCTAGACTTTGAATGTTATTGGACTGAATAGATCACTCTGATAGTGAAACGAGTCATTTTTCAGGGGGTTGTGATGCTCAAAAAATCGTATCCACTGTTTCCCAGTTGCTAAAACCGGCAATCCGGGCAACATCAAGTTTCTTTAAAAACTTGTTTGCTGTTGTAATTGGGAATAATATAAACTTAAGTTTTTGGGAGACGTCATAGTCATTTCAGTCTATCCTGCCAAATGATTTTCTAAGACGTTTGATTTATAGGCCTGCCAAACAGCAAATTCATCCCCTGGAACTGATCACGAAAAAGTTGACTTGAGTATTTTCAAATGACAGATGATCAAATGATTTTCTGACAGAATAAAGTGGTGGGTCTGTTACTAAGGTAAAAGTGAAAATATGTTGACGCCATCATGTGTTTTTGACATCATACCTTCTGGGTAATGCTGCAAACCTCCCCACCAAGAACCTAATAGGACCCGACAGGGGTCTAGGTTGCTTTACACTATTCTCAGGGATGAAGTTTCCTGTCGCGGACAGATGTAATGCACTACTTTCGTGAAAAACTCAGGCGAAAGGTTTGTGTAGTGCTGCGGTCTGGGATGTTCGTCTCGCCGAGGCTTCTGTTAGCGCTCATCCTCTTTAACCAGAACTAATCTTTATTCCCACTTTGAGATGCTCAGTGTGTGTGTGTGTGTGTGTGTGTGAGAGAGAGAGAGAAGGAGAGAGAGAGAGAGAGAGAAGGAGAGAAAGAGTCATTTGATATTAAATATGCTCAGCTGAGAAGTCATTGTGGTAGTTTTTGGCATTTATTTACCTACCTAACATTTACCTACACTGTGAAATAAATCCAGCTGAAATTATCACCGTCAGAAATGTATAAATACAATAAACACTGGCTGACACTTCAGGATGGCAAGAGGTTAAATTAAAATGGATTGAACGAATCGATGACAGAGAAACTAACAAGACAAAAAAACGATTCAACACATACTGAATGGAGCTTGTGTGATTCCATTGGAAACTTAAAATGAACACTGTTTTATTGCTGTTCTCGAGCTGGAAAGCATGACCATCCTGCAATTTGTTGTGTGTGCCGCTGTGTAAAATCTGCCCCACTTTTGTACGGGCCATTGTTCTGGTGTTGTATCCTCAGATAACTGGCAATTAGCTGCAGTGGCCTTAGAGGCTCCACTTCTCAGTGTCTGTTTCTGCCCACAGTGAAACCTTGCATAAGCAAGTTGGTGATGACCTTTCTCCCCAAAAAGTTATTTGTGTTTATCACAGCTGCTGTGTTACATAATCCTGTGCATAGGTCAGTGCTGTTCACTTCAGATGGCTTTAGCATGGATCAACAGTGTGGCTGTCATTCAGTTCAACATATTCAGCACCTGGAGCTTGCATTTACATAAATATACAAATGAAAAGAACACATTGCTGCTTTAGGTCCAGTGTTTGTCTCCCTTATCAACCATCGGTGCGAAATAGAAAAAATCCTAATTTTCTGATTGATCCAGCTGCACAATTTAAACCCAGGAGTGGAAGAGAACACCCAATGGCAAAAAGACAAAATAAAGAAAATACAATCAGTCGTTAGTTTATTAGGTCCACCTAGCTAAAACTAATGCAGTCTAATGCAATAGTGCTGCAGTAAATCCTCCTTTCAGGTGCAGTTTATGTTGGAACTGTTTCAGACAGGTGTTGATTCAACTGGAGGATCATTCTGGAGGCTGCAGTTTGCCGTGCTGTTGAGCCGTATTAAGGTATACAGAGAGGTGGTTTGTGTTATTTAGCTTACCCTTGGTAGAAATACACCACAGATGCTTACAATGTTAACTTTCTGAACTGTCTCTAGTTACAAATAAATTTGCGGGAGTCGGGGAAATCACGTGCTATTGATGTGTGAAATGAGGAAATCCACAACTTCAACACAGGGCAATGCCAAACTGGCTGTGTGGGTAGTTAATTTTAAAATGGGCATCACGGCCACACAGCAGGGCATCCACGGCACTGGCTGTTTGGCTTTGGTATAATTCCTGCCCTGATATGAGTATTATTGTAACTCTCCTTGGCACACACACTCCTCATTCCAGTTTGCCGCTCCTAGAGACTGGAATGAGTTGGAATGAGACTGGAATGAGTTGGAATGAGACTGGAATGAGTTGCTTTTTACCAGGTTAAAGCTGCAGTAGTTAACTTTTATGAAAATAATCTTTGGCCATATTTGATAAAACTTTCACTGTATCCTGACAGTAGTACATGAGAGAGATAATCTGTGTAATGGCATTTGAAAGAATCCACCATGCCTGAATGAAAATAACCAATTAGAGCCAAGAAACCTAGTTGATTGCGGAGTTTCAATCCCTCATACTGAAGCTTTGGGACCCTGGGAATGACACTCAACTTTTTCAGCTGTGACTGGTTGTTTTTGGTCAGACGTGGTGGTATTCCTGTAGAGGAACCTGATACTTTTCACGGATTTTCTGTCTCATGTACTACTGTCAGGATATAGAGAAAGTTTCAGCAGAAAGTTACTTTTATAAAAGTTACCTTCTGCAGCTTTAACCTCTTTACTCCAACTCTAACCCCTAACCCTTAACCCAACCACACCTGCATAACCCTAACCATATGCTTGGTGCTGGTGGGCAGGTAGGTTTTAACAGGTTAAACTAAAAAAAAACATTCAAAATACAATTCAACTGCATCTTCCATAATTATGTCAACAGAAACTGAACATTGTAACCCTGACAAAGATATGATTTACTGCAGGACTGTATTCCTTTTAGTAAATATAGAAGGACTACAGCTTTTTTACATCTGATGAATAATGTATTTATGTGTTAACGATAAAAAGCTCTTGACTCTGTTACTGACTGGTTTTCAATTAGAGCGTCTTTTTGAGCAGTTACAGCATTAACAGTAGATAGAAATATAGGTTAAATGTTGTTAATATATATATATATATATATATATATATATATATATGAATAAGGTCTGCAAGTATTAAGACTGCATACAGTCCCAACAACATTCATCCAGTAAGGTAGAGCCCGGCAGGTGAAACCCAGGGCAATGAAAGTCTACAAAGTTCCCTGCTTTGAGCTTGCATAATGACTGAAGGTGACTTAGATGATATCAACCCTCTCTAATCTGGACTGTGGTGGTAGGACAATAAGAGAGTCTGAGAGTCTAGCAGCAGCACTCACATGTAACATGCAGGAAGAGTGTGGTGGTGTCATAACCCAGCGTGTTCTCCGCCAGGGCAGTGACACGGAATATTCCTGCGGACTTGTAGACATGTTTGATCCCCTCCTCAGTCCAGCTCAGGTTGGAGTAAGACACGGCCGTGCCGTCACCAAAATCCAGCTGAATGTTGGTCCGCAGAGAGTCGCCCTGAAACACAGCACAGCATGGCTTCATTCAGCTACAAGATGAACACCGTGCACTGATATCACTCACGGCCTATGAATTCCTGAAATTGGATCCTGTCTCAGGCACTGGTTCAAACTCTGGGTGAATGCACATTAGTGTAACTAGCAGTTTTGGTGCTCAGAAGGGCGTAATCCTGTAGCAGCATTGGGGCAAACCGCTGAGGAAGAATATTATTGTGGTATGTTATTAGTAGGAAGAATATCAGCAGGTGAAGTTGAGGCAGGATTGACCAATCACATTGCCTTTAGGAGCAGAAGACTTAAAAAGGCAGAAGAGACTCTAAAAAACTTCTTTACATTAAAAGCACTCCAAATATGAATACACTGCACCCAGAATATTGATATACATAGCCAAGAGTATTAAAGGTGCTGTAAGTGAAATCAACATTCGAGCTAACTTCCTTGTCTGTTCACCAGAATTCTGCTTCCTGCCCTTGAGGACCAGTTCTTTGTGGACATCTCTCTCCTAATTGGATAAAGTGGGAACAGGATACCAGAAATAAAAATAGTCTATATCAGTGATGGCTCTCAGAATGGTTAGTTATTTAAAGTTATTTAAAACCTATTTTAACAAAAAAAAAAAAAATGGTTTACAGCATCTTTAATATACAGCACTTGAAATATGCTTTATGCTTGTGGGCAGAAAAGTCCCCTCAGGAGCTGGTGGAGACCAAAAACTGAGCTAAAAGGGAGTGAATTAGCCAGGTGGATACAGGCATGACTCCAAATGAATTCTAAAGTTGCTGGATATGCAAAAAAAAACTTTCTTACGTTAAAATAGCATTTTGATGAGCCTATAAATCCATGCTGGATGAAACTATTTTAATCATATGAAGCTGAACATATGAAAAGGTTTTCATACTTTGAAAGGAACTTTGAGAGCTCTTGTGCTTGAAAACAGGCATAAACAGACAACAGCACAAATGCATTCATTTCCAACTCAGTTGCAAGAGCTTGATATTTTCTCCAGTCCTCAAGATATTTTGGTAAAAATCCAATCTGAAGGCAGCTTCCGAATATTACCAACCACTACCCTCTATAAAATATTTAAGAGGCACTGTTACTGTATGAACCTCAGTCAAATCAAATCTGACACTGACCTCAACAAACCACCTTCCCTGCAAATACGTTGATGCCTATTTGTCTTTTAGCACAGACTCCAAGGCTGTGAACTGCTGCTTCAGAGCTCCACCAACAACAATTTTCATTTGCTTAAATCAAACCACCTCTAACCAAATATTTCGAAACAAGCTTTGATTCATGGGGCTTGTTAAGACCACAGCAAGGTCTATTCAATGTTCAATTCAAACAAACCTCCTGGATGACTGCAAAGACCATTGCCTCTTCCAGGAATTCTCACCAAGCTACCCGAAATGCTACTTTCTACACCAAATGTACAATACAAGGTATAAATAAATATTATCACAATTTGTGTAAGAAATTGCTTTGCTCCCCAAAACATTGCAAAATCAGTCAATGTGGGCTTCAACCATCACAACAAAATTCCCAAAGCTCTTGGTGAGTGATTAAGGGACAGAAGCAATTTTACCCAATACTGTTCATAGAATAGATTTACCAGACCACACATTATACCTGCACCAGTTCCTTTCAGGTCGATACACAAAAACCATACACCAAAGAGAGCGAGTGAGGTGAGAGACAAAGATTTAAGGTTGAACTGGCAGCAATGGATCACACAGAATTAAGAGGGTGGTAACATTTCACAGTTCACCAAACCACAAATGAAAGCCATGTCTTAGAAGTGACTTGCACATAGTCCACCACAATGTTCACCCCTGCAGTACTTGTTACATGTGAAGTGAATAAATGCAGTTTTACAGTCAGCCAGTATGATCTCTCTTCATTGCAGCGATACGCCGGCATTTGCTTGCTCTTTGGCGCTTGTTAATTTTCATCAAAGTTTATAGTTACACTATATAATTATAGTACTTGGATATAATTACATAGTTAGATAATTACAGTTCTTTCAATTATTTCTCTTCCAGACTAAAAGTACCAATGCCTCTTGTGTGGAATTACCACTGGTGGCTTTAAAAGTTTTGTCCGACTAGTTGAGCAGAAAACAACTTGTTTCACAGAACAGGCGTCAGTTTGTTTTGCACAAATTTGGCAAATACTAATTTGCAAAACAAACAGTTTGGTAATCATGAAAGAATTCAATTGTGAAAAATTGCAGAACTTTGTTCGAGGAGTCAGGAGACAGCTGATCTGTGCAGAATTCATGAATAAAATAATTATTACAGTCAGCTTTGATTTCGAATGATCTAGGCGCTTGTCAGTCGGTGTGCTGTGCCCCTAAATTCTTAATGCCGAAGTTATTTCATTAATTAATAATTGAACAGGTTATAGGGTTGCTTTATATATAAATGTATGTGGCAGAAAGAGACTTTTGAGTTACAGTGTGCCCATGTGCGTCTGCGAACGTGCCCCACCCCACCATGTTTGCTTTTGCATGGTGTGTGAGTCTTCAGCTGCCTACGCTGTTTCCTCTGGGAATCACATCTGGCGCTATCCTAGGATCAGCACACAGCGCGGGCGTTGGTGGCTCCAGCTGCCACAGCGACCAAATCTGCTCTCATCCCCCGCAGGCCTGCGGAGACAAACTCCCAGCCTCCCCATGGCACATTGTGGCGCAATGCTACTGGGATCTTCATTTGTAACACTACATTAGCATGCCGGCTTCGCCAAAACGACACAAAGACAAAATAAATGCACCTATTGTTAATTTCCTCTTTCCTGCTCTTTTGCTCCTTCCATCCCTCGCCACCTGAGTCCCTTCTTTGTGCGCCTCCGAGTGTGAAAACTCGGGAGGTTTGGTCGAGGCTTCTGGGGCTATTTCATGTCCCTTTGCCTGGAAAATGATATCTTCGATAAGTGGTTGGAGAGAATAGAGAACAGCTAAAGAACAGGGTTTGACAGTGCAGGCATTGTTACGAGCTGTAATGAGCTGGCATGCAAACAAGACTCGGGCTTGGTGGCGCCGATGTCACTCAGCTCCTCTGTGTGTCTGCTGTCCATTCTGTGTTCACGCTTGCTCTCTATATCAGCCACAATGGGATTCACTAATCTGGATGAGACTGATGCTGGCCCGTCTCTCTAAATGTCACTCTTTGTGTGCGTGTATCTCCCAGGGCTGAGCAGATCCAAACACATCATGGCTGGAGCCTTGAGGCTGGTACATCGGTGCTGGTTCCCAATGAAAGCACTGCTGTACAGGTTGACAAGGTTTTGGATGCACAGGGCCAGCGTTTGTTCAGGTGCATGTCAAACCCAAAACCACAATGTCATCGTGATGGGCGACAACAAAAGGCACTGCTTCTGTGTGTAATTCTGGAAAATTTCCACAGGACACAGAGCAGAGTCTGTGAGGGTAGCGGTAACATTTTGTCAAAAAACAGTGTATTAAGAACTTTTCATGAGGTTATCATGACAGGGTATCTATTCCAACAATATCTATAAAATAGATTTAATCTTTTTTTTAAGCTGGACAAATCAGTATTTTTTATATTAACGTTTAGCCTCTTTTGGTCATTGTTTTGGTTTTCATGCCTGTGAAATTATTATAAGATTTACTTTTATTGTTTCAATTCATTTAACCTATTTTTGAAACGATGTTTCTTAAAACAACTGCCAACCTTCTGATTAGTGGAAGACCCGCTCTACCTCCTGACTTATACATTTCAAACCTTCTGGGAAGAAATGTTATTAAACTCCCTAGGAAGCAGGTGTGGTGCTTGGTTTTTCTTTCTATCTCAAAATGCTTTATGCAATACAAAACAGTCCAAGCAAGAAAATTCTTATCGCATGGGTTATAGAAAATGATCATGTTTTTATTTTGTTTACAGGGACAATGCACCATACATTCATTGCACCAATATAGATAAAAACTAACTTATAGAAGAAAATTCTGTTAAATTATTTAAAATACAAATCTTTTCATAAACACAAATGTATTGTTTTTTGTAAATGAAAGGACAACTTTCCTCCATTTTACCCTGTTATGTATGTGTACAGCAGTGCAGATAATAATTAAGTATATGATGTATGGTACTTGTATACACTCAAATTGCTTTTACACAACATGCCACATTCACCCATTCACACACATTCATACAGTGATGAGAGCAGGACGAGCCAGGGTTCGAACCCCGTGTTGCTCCCTTGGGGTTGAAGGTTAAGAGGTGTCTAGCTTTGTTTTCTCTTGCAGTGAGTGTGAGCCCACATACAGAAATACTTGGTGTTTTAAAGAGTGGTAGCCCTTTTTTGATGTGAGGACAAAAGATTTTTTTGACTTTTGTGTCTGCTGATTTGATTTCATAGAACATAACTGCTTACTAACATGTTCACCATAACAGCTTTGTAAAGTTATGGCACATAAATGTTTACAGCTGGTTCTGGCCACACGAAGTAAAAAAGATCAATGTTTTGAATAATACATTTTGACACACACTCACTTCCCATAAAGGATTAATTAGACAGATTTTTAAAAAAATCTAACTAGAATGAAAACTTGACATAAATGTTAAACCTCTTCCAACAACAAAAAACAAGCTGTTCACATTTTGTTTCTCCTAATCAACTAAATCCGCCTAACATGTAACATTATGTCTGCACCGAGTTTGAAAACAAACGCCGCAATAAATATTTTAGCTGGCAATCCTCAGTAGACGCGCCTGTCATGTTTGATCATAATGTTCGTTGGCAGGAGATTCTATCTAGCTTTCCCACTGGGGCAGAAATAAGTTTCACAAAAAGATAACATGAGCAGGAACAACTGTGGAACATTTTCTCCCAAATGTGACCAGAGTGTGAAACGGAGAAGTGGCTGATAAAAATTCAAACTGACAAAACAACTGTTAGGCAGATCACAGGGAGCTTCTATTAACCAAGATGGAACCACTTCAGAGTCTTCTGAACTTGTAAGTCATTTATTGAACTGGTATGTAATGTAGCGATGGCCACACAAATGGGAGCAGGGAATGGGGACCACAAATCTATATCAAGCTGAACACTAAGTGACTAAAATAAGACAATTTAATAGTTATAAATAAATCCTTTCAAGTTTTTGCACCTTAAGGGGATCATTAAAAAGCTATAATAAAACCTAAAATAACTGCTGAAAAATCTCCTGAATTTCTGAGTGGGAAAGCGTCTCTCTGATGGAAGTACAAAAATGAAGCGCGCTCCCACCAGTGTCTACTCTCCAACTTGAGCGCTGAGCTGGCGATGCTTTAGTTGGTTCAGCATTGCCAGCGAGAGTGAAGCCAAATCTGATTACAGACACCACCGAACCAAGAGGGAAGCCAGTTTATCCATGGGCAGGAAGTCAGTGCTCACTCTGTGTCACCATCTCATTCCATCAGTTGTACTTGTTGATTTAAAAATAAATCAGTCTATGTGACGTGCATAAAGTGTGCAGGGTTCTTTTCCCCGAGGATTTAGTTTGGTAACATACAGGAGACCTTTGCAAAAGACAAATGGCACTTCATGTATTACACTGTAAAACCGTGACAGCTAATCTAACATAAATGAATTCCCAAATCCAAATTCATTCAAACGAATCATACCTAAACTCATAAATGAATAATAATAATAATAATAATAATAATAAATAATAAATATTATTGACTGATTTCTTGAAGTATATTTCTATACATCTAGACTATATCATGACAAAAAGAATGTGTATTTTAGGCTTTTTAAATGTTTTTTTTAATTTCAGTTTATTAATCATCATAAGCTCAAGTACGCATCCAAATAATTCTTAATGAATAAGTGTAAAGATTTGATGTTAGTCACAGAAATAAACACAGAAAAATAACTGGTTACTTACATCAGCTGTTTGGACAGGTATTGTAATGATTTGCTTTAGTGAAAGAAAGTAAACTTGGTGGTAACATTTGTGTAAAGAAGATGCATTTACGTTTCTTTATTCAGATCAATTCTGTTCACAAATTTTAAATAAGTTTGGAGAAATGCTGCATATCAGTGTACCTTCAATAAACTGGATGGAATTGGTACAATCAACTTAATTTACCAAAGTTACCATAACAATATAAGTAAATATCTGAGATACTTCTACTCAAATCAAATATCTTTCAAGCTTAAATTGTTTGAGTTAAGAAACTGAAATGGTTTAAGGCAATCAGTTTCCACAACAAACTTAATCATCGAGTGTATATGTTCCAAAAATGTGTATCGTTGTGTTGTGTGTATTACGGTGGCTACTAATATAAAGAGTGTGAAGTTGTCATGGTTTTTTGTTTCAGATATTTCCTGTTTTATTTTGAAATACTCGTCTCTCCTTTTGTCAGTCAATCACTTCCTGTCCATGTCTTTTTTCCCGCCAGTTTTGACTGTCTGCCCCACACTGATTAGTTACACTTGTGTCTAGTTATCCAGTGTATTTTGTCCAGGGGTCCAAACATGGGTGTATTAAATATTTTTACTTCTTTTTACTTTTACGCATTTACACATAAAAAATCTGTTTGTGAAGATTATCTTGCTGAACAAAACATGCAAATATCATAAACCTCTCTTCACCACAGAGCTTATTTTCTCTAATAATCAAGGTCCAATAGCAAAATCCCATTGGCTTTTTGTCAAAGGAACCAGGGCGATGCTAATTTCTGAGTTGTACTAAAAAATATATTACCCTGCATCCTCTATTTCTTGGCTGGGAGCATTTGACAAGCAACCAAAGCAGACTCCTGGAAGTTCCTTGTATAAAAATATATCTGCCTATAAAAACATGTCATGTCCCATTTGTGGGGAAAGCGAATGCCTCTTCAGGTCACTTACGTTCCCAAAGCCTTGACCTCTGTGTCCACAGTAGTGGCGAGGGTCCTAGCAACACATTTTTTCACATGCAGCATGCCATTATCTGTGTAATTGTTAGTATATTGTTTGGGCTATGTGCTTAGTTTCGATTCAGCACTAGACTCAAGTGTCAGTTCCTGTAAGCCTCTTGAGTCTTGACGATAGTGTTACAGATAGAAAGTTAGTGGGGAAAGGTACGGCAGTGAAATGTTGACCTGCAGTTATTTGTATAATGTCACCATGCAGCTATATGCATTCATGTGCAGTTACTTGTATTTTGAGCGAAGGATGAGCTCATGCCATTTAAGCAAGATTAGCTAAAAACCAAGCTTGTGCATGGAAAATGTCATCAAAGCTATATTTCTATATAAACTCTCTTTCCACCACCACACTGATACATGCAAGCATTTTAACTGGCAGAGAGAAAATAAAGTCAATTTGCAAGTGTCTCAAACACCCTCTGTCTCCTTCCTTTGATGCCGTATATGGAACTAAAGTTAAATTCTTCATGAATTGTTTGAGATTTGCTTGATGTTATTTAGGCACAAGCCAATCACCTCTCTGCCAACTGCTTAGTGGAAAGTCAGTCGCCTTTACAAAGCCCATCTGCAGCTGCGGTTACTGTGTTGCATAACAGGTTTTCTAAACCAACACAAAAGCAGGTCTGACCAGGACCTGATCTTATCATATCCCAAAACATGTGTCCATCTTTTTTTAGATTTCTTCCTTATTTTTAAACGTGGATGTGAGTCCTCTCCCCATTAAATATTTAAGGGCATTTGCTCTCCCGAAGAAATACAGCCATTGCAGGCTTCATGAATATAAATTAAACTTTGAATTCATCTTGAGAATTTTCTGAAATAGGGCTGATGCCACAAGGATTCTTCTCCGCCCCATCCTCCTCTTCTTTCATCACATCGCTCTGATACCCCACCTCCCTTTCCTCTTTCGCACCCCCACCTCCCCTCCCCATCAGACAATCCCCCTCATAATGAAAGAAACAGGTTCCCATTCCTCAGCTCATCACAGTTATATGACAACTGGGCTTGGACAAGACCCGGGGGGACACATACTCACCGTGAGCTGTTGCAGTGGCAGGAAAACACTCCTGTTGCTAATGCCCCAAAGCCTGCAGTTAATATCAACGGACCATATTCTCCCTGACTAACGTGTGAGGCAGTTTCCTAGTGACGAGGTAGCCTGGCAGGCCTGGCTCTGAACATGGTTCCTCTCGCTCACTAACATGGTCTCCGGTGAGTTCTTTTACTTGTGCCTCTGGCTCCGAACTCTTGCATTGCGTGGGCGATTTGGAGCCATTTGACTCTATTAAACTTTAGAGGGTGTTGAGAACGAGGCTTTCCTTGGAATCACCAGGCTCCACCATGCACCATGCTTGAGGGTCCTATAAACTATATTTTACAATGTTTTATAGACAAAATTTAAACCCTTTAAACCCAGTTCTATGTCCATCATTATTTTAGTTATACTGTTTGAAACTCTGCTTTGGTTCACTCTCATCGCTCTTACTAACCTCTTTTCCAGACGCAAACCTTTTGTTTAACTCCATACTCCAACTCCATAGACAAAAACAGTAATTTTACTACGTAACATCGTAACTTTATTCAAAGTGGACGGAAACTGTCCAACTGTTCCAACAGGTCGAAATAAATCCTGAATTCACTACCGAGATTAGAAAAACAGCAGTTTCAATCACTCTCCTCAATTGTAAACAGAGGCCAGACCAGCTTGAAAAGAAACCACAGAAAGGCTGGGATAGCAACACAGACAGAGGGAGTGTGACATCATTTGGACATGGGACACCATGACTTCATGTATCATTACATGCTATTTTAATGTTTTAAATCTCATGGTTAGCAATTAGCTGGTGAGCAAAGTCATGTATTTACTAGCAAAAGAGACAGATATTTCCCTCAGGAGACCAATACATGGCTAAAAGGAGAGTGAATATTGGACATAACATGTCTCCAAATGACTGCTAATTGTGTGCCTTGTCTGCTGGATGTAAACGTACAAAACTGCTGCGAACTCATTAGCCTAAATAACGTATACGCTGTTGGTGGCCAACAATCAATGAATAAGTAATAAGTAATAAAACAATAAGTAAAAATGAACAGAATGAGACAAAGCAATGTTGGTTGCGTTCTCACCTCATCCAGATTCACCAGGAAGGTCACGTTGCTGCCCAGGTTGGCGGTGAGTTTGCCGTCCTTGGTGGTCAACAAGAGTCCTTTGGGAGGTCTGTTGGGGCACTGCTGCTTTCTGGCCGTGTACATTTCTTTAACTCCTTTAGTGCAGTTGTTCAGCACCACTTTACGGTACCTTGGGAAATATTTAAAAAGAAGAAAATTAAATTTAGAGTGTTTCTTTAACTTGATCTTATTTCGTCCCTTTCTTGTTCAATCTGCTGAAGTCTACACATTCCTTTAGTTTTTAAATCAATCCCCTAGATGCGACACAGGCTTGTGGTTTAGCAACAATTCCGTTGAACTCAGCAGAGTGTTGTGTCAGTACAGCTGTTGTGCCTTCCGACAGCAAAAACAGACTGGATGACAACTGACAACACAAGCTGTGTCAGAGGCTGAGACACCTTAGAAAACCTAATCACAGCGGCAGTGAATAAAACACTCCCACTGTGATTAAGCTTTGTAAGGTGTCTGTCCCCTGGGGAGCCTCAAAACGAACACAGAAGACGCAACTTGCTGGCACGAGAAAGACAAAATCGTATTAAAGTCAATTATTAAACCACAGATGCAAAAGATGTGTCTAAACTGACATGGTGTACTGCGGCGTCATTTTAACTTTAGGGATGTAGCAGTAAATCTGGATCCTGATAAGTTTGAGTGATCACAAAGTGAACAGAGAATAGGGATGCGTCCATTTGGAAATGTTCAGTATTTAAGTCCTGCATTCAAAAATGTACTTTAAGTATTAAGAGTAAAAGTATTCATTATCGGGACAGAATGTTTACAGTCCTGAAAGATTATATTTTTTATATTGTGTGCAGAAGATTATTGATGCATTAAAATGTAAGCAGCATTTTAATGCTTTTAATGCTTCCGGCTGAGGGGGAGCTCATTTGAACCACTTATTATAGAAATGGTTTGGTAGTTCAATGACCCTGCGCACCCATGCTCCACTGACATTTTCACTCATTTTGCCTATTGACCTATTCTCAGTCTTGATTCACATACTCTGACTCTCAAACTACTGGTTTTGTTGCGGGACATGTTATGACTTTATGATTCTTATTAGTGCATTGGTGACCTCAAGTAGAAGACATCAGAAGAAGGATCTTACTCCAAAAGACTGAATACTATCTGACTTCTTTTTTGCAGCCAATGGAGCTGCCCCCTGCTGGCTATTAGAAAGAATGCAGCTTTAAGACACTTTCATGTTGGCTTCACTTCACAGACCCGGAAGCTCTGCCCATTATATATACTGTCAATGGTCTAGCTCCACACAGGGTCCAGATGTTAACCACTGTGGGACTTGAGATGACATTAGGCTGTATATCCCCTTTAACTTACAACCTCTTTCCTAAAAAAAAAAGGGCTTTTGCAGGAAAAGTTTTTATGCATGTACCAGAGTTTTGTATGCCAACATATTGAAACCAGATTGTGAGCAGCCGCTTCTTGCCGCACAGCATCTCATTCAGTTTTGCAATTCTAATCATATTAAATCTGCGATCGGTATCTGCTCTAAAGCTGCTCGAGCATCCAAGAGGAAGCCTTCAAAGCCGACGCATTTGTGCAAAGAAAAAAATATCATGTGTATATAACATTATACAGTATAAATATGTATTTCTAGTAAATCACACAGTCCTTACCCTGTGCTGTTCAGGTAGTTTTGACCCTGGCTGCAGCTTCTGGAGACAGTGGAGGGATTGAACCAGAAGGCAGGCCGGCAGTTCCCGTCACCACGCCGCTCATATCCATAATCACTGTCGGACAACAGAGCACATCCACACGGCACATGATCAATATCAGCATGTGAAAAGGGACATATTGTCATACATTGTGTGTTCCACATCCCTGAGTTATCTCTCTCTTTATTACTGGTGACCAGGGGCCTGTCTGGAACACAGAGACGCATCATTATTATGTATTGATTAAGGTCACTGTTGACAAATGTGCCACAGCAGTGTGAAGCAGGGTTTGTTACCATACGCAAGGATGACTAGCTCTCACTTGCCTGTCAGCGTTTCCAATCAGAACATGATTTCCATCCAACAAAGCAAGGTAAGCAAGTGCCCATTCTAATAACAGTCATGACATTGATTAATCAATTAATCACCGAGCCAGAACAAATAAACAAAACCTACAAGCCAGTGACTAGTCCAGTTTGATTCTGCGATTACGACAATGTGAACTGTTCATTAACAAGCTGTCAAGGTAGATTGGTTGCACAGATGCACATGGCCAAAGAGGTAAAAGGTTAGTATGGTGTCTTTGAGACAAAACAGCCAGAAGCTTGAGAGTAAGGTTGTGTACAACCACGCTAAAGCTAGGATCATGGTTCAACCTTCTCATGATAGTAAAAATCTTTACACCCTAAGGTACTGAGAAAACCTTTAAATATTAGTTCTTAAAAAATTGATCGAAACAACAGCTTTGGTAAGGGTACATGTTGGTTGTTGTTTGTTTGATACCGAAATGAACCTGCTGTTAAGTATGTTAGTTTGAGGAGAGGAAATGTGTTTTTTGACAAAGACTTTGTTTTCATTTAACAAATACAGTGTTTAATGTGCTAAAGGACTCAGTATCAGTATTGGGAAATACACTTATTCGCTTTCTTGCCAATAACACCAGTCTTAGTAGTATTGATCTTGTCTCATCTTCACATGTCAGCACTTGTAACACTTAACATCCTTACACAAACGACAGTGACAATTTTTAAAATTTAAAATTGGCAAAAACAGCTAGGTGCATTGATGTTCTATAGTCTTGACCACATTGTTGCCAAGCAATCAGCTGATACACTGTCCAGAAGGGCTGGGCAGATTGGGAATTTAGTTATACGGACCAAAACAATTTTTTGTACCAGGCTGTAAACCTTTTTAATATAGAGCCTTACGGAGATTAACTTACTTTTGGAGCCAGCCTCAAGTGGTTGTTCGAGGAACTGCAGTTTTTGGCACTTAATGTCTAGGCCGTGTTTAAACTAATGTTTTTTTTTGTGTTGGTTTAGAAAACCTGTTATGCAACACAGTAACCGAAGCTGCAGATGGGCTTTGTAAAGGCGACTGACTTTCCACTAAGCAGTTGGCAGAGAGGTGATTGGCTTGTGCCTAAATGACATCAAGCTAATGCTCAACTTAATTTGATAAAACCTCATCGAACATGTTAGGTGGTAGGGGGTAAAATGTGCCGAGCTTTCCAATTTCCTTCTTTAGATCAGGAAATATCTAATCAAAGCATCCAATGTCAACTTTCAGTACTTGACAGTTGTGCACTACATTCTGGTCGGCACTCAAAAAGTATGGAGATTTGATATCCAACTTTAATCTCTGGTGAATCAGCCTCTTGCACTGTACACACAGCAGGTCTCCAGCTTGCGTAGCACCATTATTTCACACAAGGCTCACAAGCATGTCCTCCAGCTGCTCATGTGGCAGACAGCCTCTTCACACCTCATATTAAATTAAAGGATTTGAGCTCTTTTTCTGCATTGATGTTGTTTTTAAATCCTCATTTTAGAATTTGAAGCATGCACCAAATAATTCCCTGCAGAGAGAGACGGAGCATGATAGACAGGCAGAAATCAGACTCCGACACGGAGAGAAAACAAACTTTACAGTAGTTCAATGGGAACCAATTAGCACTCACTCTCTGACCTTCTACAAACACTATTTACATAACTGTTGTATGTTGGGATGGCTTTTTTCTGTTCCCTGTCATTACAAGATAAAAAAAAATACAACCATTTAGGATTTGCATACAAATTGAAACTATTTACACCCCCCCACATCGTCTCAACAGAATTACAAGCGTAGCGAGCTCGCCCGACAGACACGACAGAGACAGACATTAGTTGCAAATAGTGTAAAATGATCCCACACTTATCAGATTATTGGAAAACACACAGCAAATGGAGTAAATTAATGAGACACATGAATAGCATATACAATGGATCCCACTTAAAGGGCTTAAAATTGGCCTCCTGGATGAAGAGTGGAAATGGTGTTTGTATGGAAGTCCTCTCTCATCCGGGCTGCATGCTTCAGTTGCTGTTAATTCATTCGAGATGATGCACCCCACGAAGGAATAAATCACCCACCTTTACAAAATTTCTCTTCCCCTCTGAGGTTTCTTTTTAACGGACATGACCATCTCTAGCTTGTAATTTTGTCTGTGCGGCTGTACAGCGAGCCGGTTCATTGCTCTGCTTTAAACGCACCTCTGCAGTGTTTCTACAAGAGCACACATCCATCAAGCTAATTTTCTTCAAAACATGTCTGTATCCACTCAGCGGGTTTAGTAACAAATGTGGTTATTAGAAAACCAATAAGAAAAGAGAGTGTATGGAAGAGCACAGTCGTCTAACAGTACAGCCTCAAAACATCAGTGTTCTTTTACAGTCTGTGCATTTTGTTTGCCTGTATTCAGCTTATAAAGTTACATTGTTGAAGTAATGTGAACTAGGACTTGTTTGGTAGGTTAGCTCAATCTAGAGAGCATATTCGAGTGGACTGAAGTGAGTATTTAATGGAAGCTGGGTGTATTGAGTTTTCCAAAAAGAGAGTTTGATTTGGGAGTAGCTGAGTCCCATTCATACTGTCACAAATACTCACATTTAGCAGCTACCCAGTGTATAAAAGGACACATTTGCAACCAAAGTAGAAGTAGTTTCTGGAACCTTTAGTCCCAGGAACTACTTTTCAAGGAACTAAAAGGTTCCTTCAGCCTGCGGTTTTCTGTGTTTCCATCGCAGCCCACAAACCTGCGAAGATCAGCCCAATTAGTCTGTTATTACAGTGGTTTTCAAACTGGGGTCCAACAGGTGTCCTTAGCTTGGCTGTTTTTGATTATTCTAGTTTGATCACTGATAAACTATGACAACTATATTATCTTCAAACCTAAAAATAAAATAAAAATACTTGGAGGGGATTCCTTAAAGCTTCAGTGTGTAATATAAGTGTATAATATACTGTCTATAGGAACTGTTGTGTTTTTGTTACCTTAGAATGAGCCGTTTTTATCCACATTTGCCAGGGGTCACCTTCCATTAAGTCCACCATGTTGAACCACCATGTTTCTATAGCAGCCCAGAATGGACAAACTAAACACTGGCTCTAAATAGGGCGTTTGCGTTTTTTGCAAGTTGTGCAGCCACCGTATTTTCTCCTACAAACTTCATAGCCCATTCTTATTCCCAGCTCATCAAATACAGATGCGTGTGGTATTCAGTTATCTGCAACTTTACTGCTAGATGACATTAAGTCCTACACACTGGTCCTTTAAGACAAAATCGTCAAATTGGGGGGTCCGGGGTCTACGGTGGGGTCTACTGTGGGGGTCCTTGACATGAAAAAGTTCCTAGTCCTTGGGGAAAGTTCCTGCAGTGGAAATGTGGCTTAAGCCCTCCTGTGAAAGGAGGGCTTCAACATGTGTGGCAGTGTGAGAACAAACATTGTTAATGAAGCTCTCCTTTCTCAGACAATAGAGAGAAACATAATCCCCCTCGATACTTCTGAAGAAAGGAGCTATTGTACAAAGGCACGCATCATCTTACCATTCAAAATCATGAGCTCTGCAAATACAGGACTCAGCCGAGAGCATTCTGGAGTAGTCCTTCCCCAGCATGCAGTAGTTTCCAGGCCTGCGCTTCATGTAAATTTGTTTTTGTCCCATCACACACGGTTCACCCTGTTGGCACAATAAGCACCATAACTACTGTGAAACACATTTCTTTTTATGGAATGAACTTTAACATGGTACACATTTATTTCCCTTACCTGGTTGTGCAAGTGCCAGGTTTGATAGTCTTCCTCTGTGCATTTCCTGCTGTAAATTGACTTGTAGTCTATCTTGATGAGCTGCCATTCAGAACGGTGGCTGAAGTGTCCGAAAAAGCTGCCGAAGCAAATGACAAACTTGAAAATGTTTCAATTACTGTAAATTACAAGCAGCAAGTCTATGACAACGATTCATATAATGTTGAGCGACACAGTTCCTCTGTACATTAAAGGATAATTCAGGCTTATTACAACTTGGGTCTAGTTTTTGTAATGATTTCTAGTGGTAAAAATAACATTTTGATACCAAAAGTAATAACTGACATGTGCCAACATGGCAAAATAACAAATACTTGTTAACAGTTTAGCCAGATTATCTAAACCAATAGTTCCAATTTTCATAAAGGTTTAAGGGGCGGGGAGGTCAAATTATCCAATATCTCACAAATAAAGCAAAGATTAGAGAAAAGTCTGAAAGATCAATCGAAATTTGTGTATCAGATTTTCTTTCCTCTCCTCTACTTCACTAAACTAGTTAACTGTACAGTATATAAAGTACTGTAGACAACAACAACAAGTTACAAGAGCAACATGCTGCTCTGACATTGATTCATCAGCATTAACAATGCAATATAAAATAGTATATCACTAACAGGGGTAATTTTCCTTCAAACCCCTTTTGATATTATAAGTACATTGTGCTGATAATACTTCTGTACATTCATTTAAGTAGGATTTGAATGTAGTACTTTTACTTTAGAGTATTTTTGGATGTATTAGTACTTCCGATGTTGAATACCCAGCATGTGGCCAGAATAAATTGGTTTGTCAACTTTGTCCAGGAAATCTGTGTGCAGCACCTTTTTGGGTATTCATCCTGGGAATTCAACATTGGAACTTTGGACTTTGGTTTAGCACCACAAACGAAATCTCAAAAGATCTAGCTAGATTTGAGTACTTCCTCCAACAGTGGCAACCTGGGGATCAAGAACAAGAAAAGTCAAATTGTTTTAGTATTGTCTTGTGAAATACTGGATACGTTCACATCTTCTGGCCTTCAACTGAAACAATCTGAGAAGCAAATACTGCATCACCCTACTGTTCAAAAGCTTAATTTTCAGGGGGTAATAAGCCAAAAAGGTTGGAAACCATTGATCTAAAACACTGAACTGGAAGGTGAAACCAAAAGTGAGCGCACTCAAAGGCCCGATTCCAATCTCGCCACTACCTCTCCCACTCTGTGACTGTGAGTGTAACTCTGTGTGCATTCACATTGGCGGCTCTGGAAGTTTTCTTTCAGGAGAGGGTATAAATACATTGGCAAGCTTTGGAACTCCCTCACCTATCTCTGATGGAAACCTGAACATTCGTCAAAATCCTAAACAGCAATATTTACATTGAATACCAATTTCTTTCTCAGATTCTTTTTTGGCATGCATTTCATTTGCCATTCTACCCTAAATAGTCTCAATCAAGTGTCAACTTATCAGTCATCCTATGGATGCGTAGAGGGATGTAAGCGGTTGCAGTTGAGAGGAGTGTGGTTTCTAAGCTTGCACTGATGCAGACTCAGTGCTGGAGAGCCTTATAACCCACTCCCACTTGAGGCTAACTGGTTTGGACTGATACTTAATGTTGCGGACCCTCCATGTGAATGTAGTGAGAGTGGGTAGGGGGAGGATGTAGGGGCCGGATTGGAAATGGGGCCAGAATATCACTATTAGTAGGCCTAGTGTTTATAGACAATTTAATGCAGAAATGTTACATATTATAGTTTTAATTCTGGAGAGAGCTGAAGTCACGTTTTCAGGGGCTTTAAGGTTGAACGTCAGCAGCCCCATTAGTAAATGATTTCTCAATGACCAAACCCATTTGTCAGGTGACATAATATCCACAAAGGTCTGACTAGCAGCATGACCCATTAGTGCCCCTCAGAAATGTGGCTTAATAAAGACTAAATACCACAGAGCTTTGAATGGACGCCATCCTTAAAGGTCCTCCATCTGTCTAGCCTTTCTGCTGCGAAAAAAATAACCCAGAAGGCTGGAGAGAATAGAGCAAATACCATTCACCTTCCACTCGGCCCACAACACCCCCTAACAGGACAGAGATATCAACACCTTTTAACATGTTGTTCTTCTCCTGGACTTACGTCATGATCTGGTTCTCGGTCCCAGCCTCCACCAAGACTCCGTCCACGAACAGGGGCACCGAGGAGAAGCTGTGTTGGGTCCACTGCCTCCCCTCATCAAAGCTGACCCTGTGTGTGAGTGTCACAATGAATTCCCTCCACAAATCCAGCAACAGCGATGGCACGAAAACAGACGCTCTCTATTAGAGCCTGGTCGTAAGGGGGGTAGGGGGTTTAGGTGGGGATCAGGATGACTGGCTTGTCTCAACAGACGAGTCTCCGAGTCTCTGTGCAATTAGCTACTGTAGCTTTGGGTAAATATCAAACGCCTGAGCATTAAAGGGATATTTAAGAGACAGTCTGTCTGTTTATCAAAGCAAAGGCACGCAAAAACTGCTTTCAGGGCACATGTCAAAAAGGAGAAGAGCGACATCACGGGTCCTTGGTTAACGTCTGCACAGGGGTGAAAAAAACAAGACCAGAATAGAACTGTTTCATGTTCGGCTACAAAACTGGAGAGGGAGAAGGAGACAGTGCAAAAAATTGGACAGCTTTCATCATTTGGGGCCTGGCTCTATTGATTCTGACAGCTTATCAACAACGGTGCAGAAGTGAGAACAACTAGGAGTACCTGAGTGTGACATGGGTTGAAACACTGCTGAGGCCTGTGCTCGGAAGTAAGAAAGAAAGAAAATCCCCCCATGTTGCCTATGAAAACTCCCCCCGCTGCCTTCATTTGGCTAAAAGCACTGACAACAGAAAAAGTGTTGACATGCACCTATTATGAGATTCAGGCCGGGGAAGTGTTTAACTGAACACTGGCTGAGAAAGCAATACTGTTCCATGTCTGCCATACTGTGGCTGTGGAGATACACAGCCTTCTTTCTATCTGTCATTTTTTTCTCCCCTCTACCATCACACTTAAATTGGGTGGGAGACAAAAACCCAGCAGGCTACACTTCACTGGCTCTAAAACTAATTTCAGAATTGTTGCAAAAGCGACTGGAGAACAGATCTGGTCTCACTTGGATTAGCCTGCACTGAGGCAAGGCGTAGGCACCCGATTTGGCAAGAGGAAGGCAATGTGTTAATGAAAACACTAAAAGGGAGGGGAGGACTGCTGGCTGTTAATGATAAGTGGCTTGGAAAAAAAAAATCTCTCCGATTAGACTTTTGTTGCGAGAGCCACAGTCAAAGTGCATGGCTAAATGGATCAAGTGTCACATATAATATATACATGCTCCTCTTTTGGATCATAAGGTTGAATTAACCTAAAAATGGCTGTAGGAAATTGGAGAAAGCAATTTAAAAAGGGAGGGTGTCCAAAAAAAGTTCTCTAAATTGACGTACCACAAGTGCCTGGTTGGCACTGACGGCTGCTTCACAGCGACCAGGGCCCCTCCTTTGTCCAGAAACCACACGTTGTGCTCCTCTTCAAAAATCTGAACAGATAAAAAAATCCATGCTTATAATACTAGAAGAATGCAACAATAAAATATTATTTTGATCATTTAAAAGATACCCTGAGATAAGCAATTGGCCATTTGTTAAACCCCACCAATATCATCCTTTTTACAACCATAAAGATTTCTCAACAATCTAAAGAGGCTAGAATATACAAGGAGTATGGAGGGTGGTGTATCACCTTATCTGTAGTGACTTTCTTGCTAGATTTAGCGACTCCATTAATGACTCTTCTTTGATTTCTTTTCTTTTTTCAAAAAAAGTGCCTAGCAACCAATGTATTTTTTTTGGCAAATCCTCTCCCTTGAAGAGAGTGGCCAATATTTCTGAGTGATTGTGCTCTCATGTGGCTCTCTGGGCTCACTGTGAGTGGAGGAGAGCAGCAGCAGTTTCGGTCGACCAATCAGCAGCCAGACGGAAACATGAATGACCTGCAGATCACTGGTCCCTGTTGGTTGTACTGGGAAATCCCTCTCCTTTGTTTTTGTTCTAAATGGTTTAACTGGACTATTTACCATTTTACAAGAGTCTATTCCAGTCAGAGTGTGGATCCTGTGTGTCTATGATACTTCAGTTCCAGTCTACACAACAGCCTTTATTAACAGTTATTCATGAGATGACAGTAGCTTAAAATTAACAATAGTTCATGACAAATCTCATTCGAGTCTGTTATGATTTTCAGTTTTTATGCTTGTGTATGTAGTCTGTTACATAATGACATACCAGATATAAAAATGAGTGTGTGATATCATCTAGCGACATTTAGGGACTTTTCAGTCCATTAAAAATAGTTGGCAACAATAGACCTTTTTCACAGCAGCCATTTTGACAGGAAATAGTAGGGTAAACACAGGTGTTACTAATTATACTAATTAAGCTTCTGTTGCATTTAGTGTAGCAGAGCCTTTCCAGTGAGCCAGCATGTACAACAGCAGCACCCTGACTCTGTTTGACCTGAATAGAATAGAACCGTATTGGTAACACCTGTTTACCCTACTATTTATTGTCAAAATAATATATTATTCTAATATATTAGTGTAAGGAGAATTCATTACTTTGTGGAGTTAACAGGTTACATTAAAATAATTAAATCACGACTAGCACATCTACTTTGTAATAGTCTCACAGTTAGTCGTGGATGCTATTCTGCTCTCTATTGGATGTGGAGAAGTCCGGCAATCCCAGACAAACCTCTGGATAGTAATGGATTACATGTAATTGCGATTACGTAATCACAAAAAATAAGTAACTCAAATACTAGATTACATTTGAAAAAATGTGTAATTACATTATAGCTGTATTGTCAAGGATTACTTGTGGTGGGAGATAAAAACTGTGGCACTAGCTGTCCCTCCAAATTACCCTTCCATTCCTGGTGCAACACACATTTTTGTGTCCATTGTTTATTCACTATAAATTGCAATATTTTCAATGTTCGAGAAGGGGGTGGGGCTTAGCAGTGTCAATTGGATTGTATAAAAAGACACTCTAATACAGCATATATTTGTAAGACAGGTAGCTGTTATGGCAGTGTTTCAAACTGTTGTGGGAGTGTGTCAGTCGGCTGGATCTGGCTGTGAATCCTGGTGTGAAGCTCACCTGTCTCCAGCTATTGCCAGCGTCAGACGATATGAACATGCCAACATTGTTGTAAGACAGCTCCGCTCCAATGTTTCCTGCAGTGGAAACGCCAACAGAATACTTGACACAACAGAAGCTGCGGCGAGATCACACAGATAACAAACTGATAAAGGGCCATATGTGTTTTAAATACATGCTGCCAATCACACCACGTCTGTAATTAATTTATTCCTCTGGCTTGATTCCCAGATCAGCTTGCTGTCTCTCGATTCATGTGAATAATACAGAAAGGACCCTGGGTTAATACCTATGGATGCCTGCGTTGTTCAGGCAGAATAATATGAGACGTGGATGAGGGCGGGTGCCTCCTTCGCTCTGGCAGTTTGCAGTGCTACAGCACAATGCCTCCAAAGCTTTCTTCCTGCGAGTGTGCAGCGAGTGAACTAGCTTCCTTTGTTGATCTGCTCTACTGTCTTGGCCGCGGCTCAGCAAATAGGCATGTGTTTGATCTGGATGGTGTTTGTCATGTTGGTGAGATGATCCCTGCACCAGCTGACGTCTTAAAAGGCGCAGCGGGCAAAGTGAATCGCGGTGCCAAAGCAAAGGCTCGGCCAGCGACACACACACACAAAGACACACTGTGCAAGTATGGCAGCGGAGATGTATGTTTATTCAGCATTCGCACACACCAAAGACAAAACAGACAGATCCAAAGACAAACACACACTCGCGCGTGAACGTACACACATGGAAAAAGGCAGACTTTTTCTGCTGACACTGCCGCCGGTGCTCACACATCTATTTTGTCTTAACTCATCTCTCTTTCTTTGCTTCGACTCTTAACACTCGCCGAGGCTGCACAAACCGTCGCCTGTTCTCACACGTGCATAATTGTGCCAGGTGGTGTGTCATCAGAAACAGGTGGACATGTGATCCACAGCATTTGTCTGTGGAAGAAGTGGAGATCCTGCAGTGTACTGTGTCCAGTGGAGCTTAAATACAGACACTTCCGTGAGGGGGCATGGAGGGGTCACATAACTAGTCTAGTAGCTGACTGGGAGGATCACAGTTCAACTTATCATCCAAAATTTATTGCTTTCATAATTTGAAATGCTGTTTTTTTTTTCTTTCTTCAAAGTACGACGCTGAGGTGAGAAAATCTGATTTTTTTCAAAAGAAAAAAGGCTCCATCACAAAATGGATATTAAAATGACTTGCTCCAATGGAAATATGATACCATTATCCTCTTATTACTATTTAAAGCTGCAGTAGGTTACCTTTATAAAAAAAATTTTTTGTCATTATTTGCTGAAACTCTTCACTTTCACTATATCCTGACAGTAGTACATGAGACAGATAATCTGTGAAAAAGTGAAGTTCTTCTGGCTCCTCCTAGTGCCCCAAAAGGGATTTCAGTGTATGAATGAAAACAACCAATCAGAGCCAAGTAAGATTGTTGAGTCTTATTCCCAGGCTGTCAAATACAGATGGTTTGGGACCCTGGGAATGAGACTTAACTATCAACTATCTTCAAGCCTCTAACTCAAAACGTCTTTATATCTTTCTCAGCTCTGATTGGTTGTTTTTGTTCAGGACCAGTGTATTCTTGTAAACACCATTATGAGCACTATGAGAAGCCAGAGGAACCTGATTTCTTCACAGATTATCTGTCTCATGAACTACTGTCAGGATAAAGTGAAAGTTTCAGCAAATATGACAAAAACTTATTTTTATAGAAAATAACCTACTGCAGCTTTAAAGATCCCCTCCAGATATGTTTTAGGACATAAATAGTCTACTTGGAATAATAATGTATGTCTTTGCCCCACCAAAAAAGTATAATTTCGACCTTTAAATGATTCTTCTAGCTCATTAAATATTCCACAATCTCTGAATATGCAAATGTTGTTGATTTCTAAAGTTTTCCTGCTGGACACAAGATGTCTCCTCCTTCACTGTAAAGTCCATTCTCAGTGGATGTGCACTGGTGGATCACACTGTACAAGTTGCATACTGGACCAGGACTGACTCACAAATCATGCTGTTAGTCCCGGCCCCTTAAAATCAGATTTTCAATGAGCACAGAGAAACTTTCCACTTTCAGTAGATGATTCTAGTGTCAAACTCTGCACAGACGTTATTCAAACAGCACACACAGTTTTGAGCAGGGGGACTTAAAGTAGTTTTACTATGCACAGCTTGCTTGACTCTTAGTCTTACCTGTGGCAACTATTATCCCTGGCACAGAGCTCTTGGTGGAGATTGTTCCTGACAGGTAAGGGTTCTCTGACATTTGCAGCTGGAGATGGAGTGAACAAAAGGGCTGCAGAGGAAGAAGAATAAACATGTTGATTTAAAGAGAAAAGAAATGGGTGGACAAAATGTCAAAATACAGCATATTCATTAAGCCAGAAATTATTTAGCAAGAGCATACTAGATCATATTTACAGTAAATACAACACCAATCAAAGTATGTAAATGATAAGGTCAGAACAGAATTGCAGAACAAAAGCAAAAAACATCAACAAAACAAGCCAGATTCATTAGTCTCCCAAAGACAGCCAACTGTGCCTTCATAAGTTTTGCTAATTGCATTTAATCCGTCATTAATACAAAGAGCGATGGAATTTGCATTAAAGTATGAAGCCGAGTCTCCGGGGCATGCACACAACAGAAGACAATTACATTTGTTCACAGGGCAGGAAAAAAAAAAAGCATGCCTGCTTTCATCTTTGCAGCAGACAGCATGTCACTGGTGTAAGGACATCAAGGGCAGTGGGACTGAACAGGGTAATCAAAAGGAATCTACGGCAGTAATTAAAATGTCACATGAATGCACAATCACAGGGAACCTGTAAGCCACACCGCACAGCCCCGAAATCACCTCTTGAACAGCACGGAGTCCCCCTAATGTCTCACACATGATTCCTCCTTACAGTCATCCTGTTAGCTTTAGTTGCAGGGAGGCTCTCTAATGAGGACAGCGTCAACACATGCAGTGTGTCTGGATCTGCCACTGCAGCACCTTATCTGCCTCGGTTTTAAAGCACAATTTGCAATTTTATGTCATTGTAAAAGAAAAATATTAAAGACTAATATTAGCTTTTGCCACAGTATGACTCCACTGCAGTGAATGGCAACTGAATTGCAGAATTTATTTAATTATGTTTTTCCATTTTATCTTAAACCAACTTGTTTCTGCCATGTTGTCAAGGTGAAGGTGGATTATTGCATTGTCAATTCAGTACCGCTTTCTAATAAGGCATCTTACAGGAAGGTTTGACTGTAATGGCTTTATTAATATAAGCCATTCATAAAAAATATCATTCCAAGAGGTGAAAATTGTAAAGTAAACCCAGTCTGCAGTTGTAAATGGTAATTAAAGCTGCAAGCAGCATTGGGCGGGACCTCGCACTCCACGCAACTCGGGGGGTGCTGCGGCCGCTTCACGTGCCGCCGTAACACATGCGGACCACAACATGAAATTTCACGTAAATCAGCTCAAAATCGCCACGCAGCGCTTACTTCCTGTTGCCAGCAGGTGGCACTATCACTATGTCTGAATATTGTCATGTAGACGTGTTCAGGGTGGGACTGTTATCAAACACGTGAAGTTTCATTTAGATTGGACCATGCACGCTGAAGTTATGAGGACGTGTTCAGGGCGAGACTGTTACAGAATGTATGAAGTTTATTGGAGATTGGACATTGCACACTGAAGTTATGAGCACTATTTTATGGCGAATCGGCTGAATTCGACAAGTCGTCACTGGCACGTGGTTTGATGTACAGTCACAAATAGCGCAACTTTTCATCTACAGTTTGTTTTGATTGTACTGACCAATTTTGAAATCAAAATGGCCTACTTCCCGTGGGCTTTGGGGTATGGGTCCAAGAGGCTTTTCTGTAGGTCTTGGCAAGTTACACGTGCCTACCGAGTTTCATACATATCGGTGAAATGGGGCGCCGGGGCTGCTTTTTTGAAATACTGTAGGGGGCGCTACAAACATGACAAACACAATTTTTGGTATGTAAGCTACAGGCAACAGTCTACACGTGCCCTGTGAATTTTATATTTATAACTATTACAGTCTCTGCAGAGTGAGTTACCCTGCCACCAGAGCGCCACCCAGTGGCGTGTTTTTTTCTCCTTTTTAAGTGAGCCTCAGGGAGCCATGGGCAATCATCATACCGCGGCCTATATGGGGAGATACAGCTCCATTCACTGAACGCATGGATACAAGGTTTTTGAATGTGCGACAAACGATGCGGGAGTTATTAGCGTAAACGCACCAGAAGTAGCACCAGCTTGTGGCCGACCCGAAAGCGACGCATAGAATATCCAATTTTTTTACCAGGCCTGACAACGTTCCCAAATAAAATTGACTTTTGGTATATGTTCACGGGGTCAAAAATGCAGTGAACGGGGCTAAAAATAATAATAACTTTAGCAAATACAATAGGGACCTACCAGTTGATACTGGCTCGGTCCCTAATTAAGTTTCCAGAAGGTCAGCGGTACAAGGATGTCCCTGATGAACTAAAGAGCTAGCAGTGGGCTTGTGACTGAAAGGTTCAAATCCAAAACTGGCAGAGTAGATCTGGGTGGAGAAAATAAAAGAGCAGCATTTTCCCCTTCCTCATCTCTATCACTGAGGTGCTCTTGAGCAAGACCATGACTGTAGGTCAGACTGGGTAGCCTCATAAGTGTACCTGCATAAGTTTCACCACCCACTCCTTCAGTCGGGTCGTACACTGCGAAAACCACCCGTACAGTATACAATTTAGCCAACATCACCAGATCTACAGTCAACATTAAATTTATGAACGGACTGAACTGTCTTGGGCCACCATAAGGTCGGTTGACTTTAAAATCAACAGGATACACTTAGATGTGCGTTTCTCTGCTGTCGTGTGCAATTGTCCACTATTTGAACACAAAGTGTCTCAATGGTATAAAAAATGTCAGATGTCAGAAATATGAGATTCAGTAAGGTAGTTGTATATGTCAGGTCTGTCCATTTTTATGGAGGCAGACTGAAAGGACACGCATCAACCCCTATTTCTCGGCCAATCATTGATCGACAATGACACAACATAATTATTTGCCTTGCTGGCTGTAGGATTTTGGCTCCTAATAGCTAAAAGCAATACGGCATTCTTATTTAATGGTATTAAACTGGCAAAGACATCGGAATTTACAATTACCTCCAGTCAATTAGAGGGACTGGTTTCACCCAAAAGGGGGCGGGGCTTGACGCAAAGCCAAAATACCTGGATGGGCTGCTCTCATCTATGCTTTCTTTGCTTAAAAGTAAGTTAGTTTTAAATTTTATAAAGAGTGCTTTATTACAAAGTCATTCAATTAGTTCTATGTTCTCATTTTGTGTCACATAATTTCACACACCATATTCACATCTTCATCTTAAATAGACAAAGCTTTTGAGCTGCAGTAAATGTCCAGTGTCTTACCAGTATGCAGTGGATGTCATTTCCATCCAGGTCAGAGGTGGGAGCCTGCAGGAGCCTCCAGTCCCGGCCTTTGTTGTAGGTGATGTACGTCTTGACCTGGTTGTCTTGCCTCTTGTTAGCGATCAGCATGCCTTTAATTCCTGCCACCTGAAGGAAACACGCACATAACAGGTTGAATCTCAACTTTACCGGCAGGGAGCCTTTTAAAGTTATCCCTCCCGTAACAGTTTAGTTCTCCATTGCAGATGAAAAAGCACACCCAGTGCTCTCATCAGAAAGACCATTTTGTGTATTGAGGCAGCAATCTTTGCGACACAAGCTCAGTTAAATGCAAATGGTGTGCTTATCCTCCAATCCCTTTTTCTCGCTGCGGCTGACAGGCTGGCAGACACCATCATCGGCAGAGTCGGCTGCATTTTCTTATACTGTGCTAAGTGCTATCTGTAATTATATCCTCACCCGTCTCAACAATCCAGACAGTACAAAATGATGACCGTTGAGAAGTGACACCTTGTCTGTTTTCTCACAATCCGTCTGAACCACCCCAAACACATAACATACATAAAAACACGTTCATATGGAAGGCGCACACTTCTCTTCCAAAATCCTCCCTGCTGGTTGTCTCTCAAGGATTAGACATATCCCTCAACTACACCAAAGCATGATATGCAATGGACAGAATAACTCCAAATGGTTGCCATAGTGAGAGGGGCTCCAGTTGGATGTGTTTCCCTCCCTGAAGGGGCCCGTCTCTGTAAGTGGCACTAATTGGCAGCGCATCTGACATTGTCAGAGAAACATGGCGCTCAGGATGGATGCGGCTAACGAGGGTCCTTCCGTCCTTATCCAACCCGGTCTGTCAATCACTGGAGTAATTTTTTATTGCCTCCTCCTCCTCTATCACATACACATACACCTGCACTCCAACAAGAACCGCGAGTCCCCACCAGCATGCATTTCAGCCACCCATCACTCACGCCACCTGTGTTCCACTTTCTTGGAGGCAAAGTGAAGGACGCAGATTGCACAGCATTAAAGGAACGCTCCGACATTTTGGGACTTTTGCTGCCTTTTAAAGCAGCTCTGCCATTTGCTGAATGCCAAGAAGTGATAAAGAGAAAAAAGCATGAGGTTGTGCTGCAGCATAATCATCTCTGCTAACATCAGAGCAGCATGAGAGGTAACTTTGACCATACTGTGCAAGTTGTGAACAGTGCTAAATGGCTCATTTTATATCCCATTCTAATATTTTTCCACACTGCCTGTTTTGCGGCAGAGGGCAATGCATATCACGTCTGAACCTCTCTTCAGAACTACTACCATCCCCTCCAAACACACATCTCTGTTTGCTGAGACTGTACTCTGCACTGGACTCTGTTGACTTTGCCCCATTATCATACAATAGGGAAATCTTAAATAACACGGGGGGGGGGGTTACTTGATTGGTCAGCATTTACTGTACATAGAAGCTCCGTGCAGGACCCCTTTTTTTGCATTTCAGACAAATCTAAATATACCTCATACACACACATATGAAAGAATTAAATTGCAACCATTGCAGTTCATTGCATCATCTGATATCACAATATCTGTATCAGTTTACTGTATTTGTGACGCAGTGTCCCCAAAACACATTCCTGTACAGTTACAATAGCTGCTCACAATGATTATTTTCAGTTCAACTGATCTGTGAGTTATTATCAGTATGTGTTTGCATTGGTTTTCAGACTCTTTAATGGTTCTTTGTCTGTCAAGACACCCCGGGGCAGTGTGCGTATGCTTTGGGCTATTTTTCATAATCCATTAGCCCCTTATTTATTAAAGGCTATATACGCTTAACCATTCACTTTAGTGCCTGGAATTAGATTTTTCATGGAATATTTTACTCTTACATCTTAGAGCACCAAACTGTGTAAGGGGCACCAGAAGCACTCCTTTAAGTATTTGTTTTTCTTCAAGGCTGATCACAAGTTCCTGGACGCCAGCTGACAACATCAATTCGCTTTTGTCAAACCAAGAGTCAAAGATATTACATTTTTAATGATAGAAAACAGATTTACAAAGTTGGGACCACAGAATGTTTGGGATTTCTGTTTATCCAGAAACACAGTGGTTCAACATGGCACACCCCAGGGAAGGCCACCAGCTGTGTCTGTAGAAAAAAACCCAGCTAATTCTAAGGCAGGGTTCCGTCAACTTAAACTACCTCTTCGTATATTATAATAAAGGCAAAATTCTGGGTGCCCGGTTAACTCAGTCGGTATAGCTGGCGACCCTCATACGGAGTTGCTGCAACGGCCCGGGTTCAAATCTGACCGGCGGCCCCTTGCTGCATGTCATCCCCTCTCTCTCTGCCCCCCTTTCCAGTCTATCTACAGCTGTCTCTATCAATTTTGCCAAAAAAGTAACTTAAAAATAAATGCATAATTCTATTTTTTTTAAGTATTTTGTTTTTCGTGCAAAATAATAACAAACGTAAAAAGTGGAATGCGTGGAAAGAGTTGATAAGAACAAAGCAGGTTGCAGGCCTTCATTTGTTGTTCGGCTGAAAGATGATATAAAAATGTATATGGTAGTAATGACATTTACAGTATATTGCTCTTTCTAGTAGTACTTAAATGTTCATCCTACAAGATGACAATCGCAGTATTGTGACCCCAAGCCACTTCTACAGGGGGCCCAATTTACAATAGAAATTGTTACTTAATCCGTTGTTAAAACACCAGTGTGTAGGATTTAGTGACATCTAGTTGTATAGTTGCACTTGCTTCACCCTCCCTTTCTAAGCATGAAGGAGAAACTATGGTGGCTGTGATCACTTGAAAAGACTCCATGGAGGGCGTCTGCAGATAAAAACGGCAAATTCTAAGGTAACAAAAACATCATGATTATACAGTAACGAAAATATACCTATAAATATTATATTCCATTTCTTTTTATTCTAATAGATCCTCCTAAATGTTACACACTGGGCCTTTAATATTAGAAATATTGACTAAACTAAAAACTGAAACCGCTTAAAAATAAATCTAAACAGACCCCACATCAAAATATACAGTTAACAACTCAACCTTTTCCCCACCCTCCGAGAGTACTCTATCCATCAGCTTGTTGTGGTGGTAAGTGCTTTTCATTTAAGAGTTTTTGACTCTCATGTTTTTCCCCCCGAACTGAATGATGAGGACATGAGAGGAGCATCCATTTCAAAAACGTTCAGTAGATTAAAACATGGCTGCCAACCTGAAAACGCTGCTTGTCAGTGAAGACGGAGCATCTTATCAAACAGCAGGGGATCGCCAATTATTTAATGTGAAGCAATCTAGCATTCCACAATATATTATATGGCTCATTTGTTGATACACAGCTTTGTGGGTTTAAGCATCCTGGCAGGAAAAACACGAAGGGCGCCATTATCACGAGTATCGGAACCATCTAGATCATCTAATGCTCTCCACCGGCAACAATCCAATTCATGTCTTCAATCAATCATTCAGAGCTGCTCGCAGTGAGGCGAGAGAGAGATAAATGATTTTTGATGCAGTGAACCCACGCCAATCAGAGCGATAATTGTCAGAGGGCCACCTGCTAAACCACCTCTCCGATTGAAGGGAAGTTTAGTGAGTGATGTAGAGCCCTGATGTCAACAGAAAATTAGTTTGCACAACAAAGGCTCATGATTACAGAAATTGCCCTTATCCAATCTGATTGACAATAAAATAATCCGTCTAATTTAGAAGATAATTGTGCAATTTTCTGTGGGGAAGTAGCATAATTGATTTTGGGGGTGGAGGACGCGAAGGGAACGAAGGCCCTCTGGGAAGAGACATGACTTCTAAGTGGAAGAACAAAGCAACTTTCACATACTCCGCTGTCTCCCCTCTGGTCTGACTGGAGCTGCGTCGTCTCTCTGGAACATTGGGTCTGTGAAGTGCAGTTTGTCAGGGTCTAACAACAACAAATGGGATGAGTTCCACAGCATACATCTACCCATGTGTAATGGGTCTGATTTATCAGAGACAGCGGGTATCATCTATCTCTTGTTTAGGTTCTGATCAAGAACGGAGTTGTGACCGCGTGACAAATGTAATTAAAACGCCTTATCATCTCATGCTGCATGGTGAAATGCCTTAACTACACTGCTGCATGGTAATAGGGGCTGCACACACACACACACACACACACACACACACACACACACAGCCACATACTGTGCAGGAGAAGTAATGGCATTGTTAATTACCATACCGCTGCCACTGCTGCTGGCCGATATCTCACTTCCTTCACTCTCCCAGTCACACCTGCCAGCGTAGGAGTGATAAACTGGGTTCAACAGGGAGTGGAGAAGGAGGGAATGCTACTTTCCTGCTATGAATGCTAATGCAAACACATACAGTAGCTAGCAAGTGAGCTAACGAGGTCGTTACAAGTCCAGAGGTGCATGGCAGTGAGCGCCGTTAAGCTTGTTCTTCATACTGTGTATGTCTGCTGTCAGGAAGATGGACGACCGCAGCCTGTAATGCAAACCTACTCATATAAGACAAGTAACTGTAACACAAACTCTACAGCTAGTCTGTGTTTGTTAAGCGAACAATCCACACTGATCAACTGCAGTTACTTTCTTTAACTAACTGTGGCCAAATCAATAGCGTGTGACTCAGAGCTGTCAGTATTCTTGAGCTAACAATAGATCAAATGACTGTGTGTAATGTGAAAGAGTCACTGCTAGTGTCAAATCCACAGAGACATATCATCCAACTTTGCTTGGCATGGGAAATTTCTAAATTTGGATTATCCTAGCCGAAATAACTGTGATTCACAATATTATCACTACAATCATCAACATATGCTTAAAAAAATTAAATAGTAACTGTGGAGGGGTGTATTTCTATTTCTATAGGTCATTACTTATTTCACCATTTTAATTCTACTTGATTATCCATCTTATTTTGGTGTTTTATGGTTTACTCATAAAATACTTTGTGCACTTGCTTTTTCCCACTCTGTCTCACACACACCAGCTTGCCCCCACCTCTTTCTGCTTCTCTCTCCATGTATCATACAAGCTGTACACAGTATGTGTCTGTGCTGTTATTCTGTTGGTCAGCAGTATGTTTTAGAAAGAAACACAACTCACGTTTTGGCTTTTTCGCCTGTGATTCCATTTTTCAACAGCAGGTGAGCCGCAAGTGAAGGAGGCTCATTAATGAAGTCGCCTGTCAAAAACTAAACTGTTGCTTTACCTGCCCCATGCTTCTTAAACATCCACCAGATAACATCTCTCTCTGTTTCTTTTCAAACTGCTAAGACAAGTCCCTGACTGTTAATATACTGGATGGCCCGCACAAGTGAATCTATGTGTGTCAAAGGCTGAATAACCTTCCTGTGGAATAGAATAAATGTCTCAGCCGATCGGCTCTTCTGATCAGCATTTATCAAGATCAAACCAATAAGGAATATTGTCCAATCATTGACCAAAGGATCGGAGCACCCTTACTTGTCTTTGCTGTTTTGGTTTGCTCTCATCAACCATTTCCAGTTGCAGCATGCAGCTGATTTTAGAAAAGAAGCTCTGTTAAACCAGCTGTACACTACCAACCCAGCACCAAACAACAGGCAACGTTAGGAACTCACTATTGAACACAGTTCAGCATTTAGCAGCTTCAAAGCTTGAGTTTTACCTCAGGATGGTTGGTGGAGACCCAAACAGAGCTACAATCATCAGGTCGCCATAACAATGACTCCAGGTTAATGCTACGGTAATAGTTTGCCGGCATGTTCAGCATTGAAAAATGTCAGCGTTGTGTTGTCAACTTGTTGCGCTGCCCCAAAACTAAATGAATGCATGGTTAATGTTCCGTGGTTCATAACTGAGAAATAATTCAAAATGGTCATTTATCCTATCAGTTGTATTATATTTATATGATCATATTATTTTATTATCTCACAAATGTCTGCTAAAAAGTTAGCTTTTCCAATCAAATAGTAGGTAAAAAATTAACAATATAAGTTATTGGAGTCTGATGTAATACAATTCATGCCAGTGCATATCATCCAGTGCTGCATCTAATATATTAAATGCTTAAATCATAAAAACTAGAAATATTTATATCCAAATCAAGTATGACATAAAATCAGACCGGACCTTCAAAACTTTGATCAGCTAAATCTGACAGTTCTATCTCATTACTAATGTTAATAGTGAATGCCTACATTAATAGTAAAATTTTTTGATTGATACTAGTGATAGTTCCTGCATTCAGTGAGTATTCCAGGAATGACGTATTGCATACATTTGGGGGATTGAATAAAAAATGGTCGAAACCAAAGCAGATTGGCTTTTAGTTCCTTGTATGGGTCAAATTCTGTTTGCCTGCTAAACATTTTTCAAACTCCACAACCACTGTTTGTTGTAGTGGAATCTTTTTTTGCTTTAACTTATCATTATGAAGTAAATGTTGATTGCACAGTGAAATGGCTATAGACTAATGACACCCTCCGCGTTTAGATTGGTTCCCTTTATGCTTCACTTTCTGTCTGCCACCGGGCACAATATTTCCTGGGAAAATGAAGGTTCGATTTACGAGACTTCTAAATAGACTAAATGAATAAACAAATGCACGTCTTTTCTCCTAATGTTTTCTTCGAACGTTAATGTTACTACCCCCTTTTGCGAATCTTTTGTTTACATCAGACGTGGGGCTTTAAAATGTGAGGCAGGAAGAATACACTGCAGTGTTTTCAAAGCCAGAAAATTCAGCAGCAGCAGCAGCAAAGGAACTGTTGGGTCACTGGTATCGATTAACAACGCTATTGCTGCACACCTCTGAGATACTGTATGGTCATTCTGTGTAATGGGACATAAAAACCTGATTATACTGCACATTTAACCACAAGCTTTCAAAAAAAACCTTTTGCTCCACTGTTGTGTGAAGGTGCATACATGTGTCTGTACTTTATGGCAAATCTTCGGAAGTAGTGAGAAAGAAATAGTCTCTGTAACTTCCCTTCTAACCTTCCAAAATAGATTGAATCAATGAAAACCTCACTGCAAGTATCCCCCCAGGGTGACCAATTTCTTTAGGTGCCTACCTCGTATAGGTCCAGCATCTGGTTCCCTCCGATGCCCCTGGTGGTTTTGACATTCTCCATGGCCAAGGTGAAGTAGATTCCCCTGGTGTCGGACAGGTAGAGGTTATAGGTGTCGTTCTGGTTCCACTCCTGCACCGCCGCAAATACCTGCTTCTCATCAGTGCTGACAATGTGTAAATCCTATCAGGGAGCAGGGAGAGATTAAGAGGAGTTATGACTCAAGGCGGAGAGGTGACGGATTAGAACATGCTGACCCTGTGGGGACTGGTCACAAGATCAATGCCGTGGTGTGAATATAAATGGTTGACGACATACTGTAAGGTGTAGCTCACTCAGGGGCTCACCACTACTAGATGTAGGACTTTAAAAGGACAGTATGCTGTGCCAGCATTTAAAAGATAACAAAATGGAAAAAAGCTGGTGACACGGAATGCAAATATTTGAAGGTTATATAAATGTGAGATATAATAATATAGCAGGAAACAACTATTTGCTATGTAAATATATAGTGTAGTCATGGTGTCCTGAGCAGAGAATGAAGTCACACTCCCTCTGCCTGTGTTGCCATCGCAGTTTCTCTGTGGTTTGTTTACACAGCCTGTCTGCTCCATGTGCAGCTGAGGAGAAACTGCTGTTTTTCTCATGTATGTACATTGGTGAACCAGACTTGGTAATTGTTGGAACAGTGGAAAGACTAGCAAAGCCTGTTGAGTTTTATATTGTTTCTTTTTAATGAAGTTACAAATATATCCCAAGGATTATCGTTAGCTTATGTTGCGATCACTTCAGCTCTTTCCACAAATATTTTCAGATCTAACTTGTAAATTAAGGGTTTCTTTTGACCAAACCAGAGTTTGTGACTGTTGGAGAGACTCACAAAGACTGTTTGCTTGACTTTTTTTTTGTGTCCCATTGTCAGGATTCCTACCAAGTGTGAACCTATCATGAAGTCACCCAATTGGTTTATGGAGTACCATTTTGAGGCCTTGAGTAAGGCGTTTTGGCTGTCGCCACAACAGTTTGTCGGAGCCAGCGCATGTTGAGCTGCTCTCATTGGCTGCGCAGTTTTGACTGGTCCATAGCAGGAAACAATAGGGGCTCGCCTGGTCACACACAATCTCGTTTTACAGCTAAATAGTACACTAAAATATATTTCTGAAACGATTTTAAGTCAGAAATAGGCATCGAAGTAACAGAATGTGGATCCATATTTGATCAGCACTGCTTAGTTTGACATTTTGTTTTGAGTTTGGTGCGTTGAGCTGGACAGACTCACTGAAAGTGACCTGTCAATCATGGGGTAGCCCCGCCCAAAATGGTAAATTGTACTCTAAATGGGACCATAATTTACTAAATGAATATCATGCTGTACGGAAGAAGATGTTAAACTAGTGATTAAGACCATAAACTCCTCATGTTTACTGAGCTCATAAATGAAGTGAGAAGTCGGCTCATTCTCCATTAGAGTGAATGGGATTGCTGTGTTATTGCAGCCAATGGAGCTCCCCCTGCTGGCCTTTATATAAAATGCAGAACACGTTGGCTTGACTTTTATGACCCAAAAGCTTTTTACATTATATATACTGTCAATGGTTCCTACGCATTTTCAGTATCACAATTCCATAATTTTCCGGACTAAAATTTCCAGAATTCTTGGTTGATTTTTCAGACCATATATGGCATCTGAGTACAAATAGCTAGATGTTTATGACATAAATAAATGGTTTAATAAACCAACAGTTAACATGTAAATCTGTTCTCTTCTGAGCTTGCTTTTGACGATGTAAAGCTCACTCTGGCCTGCAATCCTTTGCACAATTCTAAATTTTATATATGAGAAAACAGAATAGGACCAGTAGTCCATAAGCACAAATATTTTTCCATACTCTCTTTTCATTTTCCCTTCTTATCCAGACCTGGATACATATTCCATACTTTAGTGTACTGCGTGGGAACCCTGCATTGTTTTGATCTGAGATACTGGTGTGACAAACCAGTGGCAAGGGAATGTATTTATAGCCTTTAACTAAGTCTAGTATTAATTGACTTTGTGACATTCTGAAATGAAAACAGATTTGTATGAGTCATAGAGAGAAAAAGTCAAAATACTTGTCAGGCAAGGTTTTCAGCGACTTACCTTTGGCAGGGAATATTTGGGAAGCTTGGTTTGTATAAACGAGTCTCTCTTGTAGGACACATAATAGGTGGCTCGTCCTGATGTGGGAACCTATAACACATAAAGTACAATTAATGTCATATATTGAACATTACATGCAGCATTTCCCTCTATTATCTGGAGCTTTGGTTTAGCAACATTATACTTCCCTTAGCCCTGCATGTGATGGAGCTGTGCTGCTAAACAAATGCAGAGGACACCTTGTATCAAGGCCTCGTGTAACCTCATCACAGACACCATATCATATTTTCAATCAATTAAAGTGGCGGGTGAAAGAGCACATCAATCTCTCTCTATCTCTCTTTGTCCTGCTGATTTTCAAGGCACTGCTGGATACACTGAGGTTTTTTCTTTTGGCCATTTATAGCCATCTCCTGGCTTGCATTCAGAGGATGCTGCTCTATCTAGGTGTCAATGCACTTGGTGGTTTCAAAGTGGACTTTGGTAAATATCTCATAGGACAATCAATAGTCTCATTATTCTTTGTCAAGAGAAATCTTTAAGTTGCCCAACCAAGCCTCATTTGCTAGAGGGAAAAAAAGTCGTCCATAATGGTCTGAGACCCTTTGCAAACACTCCAAGCTGTTAGTTGTTAGCTTATGCAGCAAGAAAACACAGGGCTTTTGTCATTAGCCTCGAGGCCACAGAAGCCAGGCACCTCATACACACACACATGCAGAGACACACAGAACAAAGTGAGACCACAGCTCCATAACCCACTTTTCGTTCCTATCAATAACGACATGAAATTCATTAGAGGAAAAACCTTCAAATCAAACTTCTGGCTATGTGCTGAAGAGAAGTGATATCAGTATTAATGTTGTATGACAGGGCTGATTCTTTTACTGATCTTGTAAGTGCTCCGAATGGCTCAGAAGAGAGAAAACAAGCTCTGAGAGGAAATATAGCGGGCCAGCAGTGAGCACTGCGGAACAGTCCCACATGCAATTGAGTGAAGGAGCGGGAGATCGATGGCGGGGTAACCAGAGGCGGTTTGAACTTTGAGAGGAATTGGTATGATTGATTTTTTTTCCTTTCCCATCCCTTTCAGGATCTTTCGTCTGTGACGCATACGTGTTAAAATGTGGAGGTGCAAGAATTGAAGGGGAGGTTTAGGTTGAGTGCTTGTGAGTTTACGTGAGAGACTTCGGAGAGGTCAAACAGGATTGAAGGTTCTTTGGAGAACAACTCTATTTCTTTGTGTAATGCGCTGCCAAGGCCAGTAAGGCTTCCAGAGGAAGCGCTCGTCTGTAGGTAGCTCAGGTAAGTAGGTTTCTGAAAAATCCCTCTTCTGTGCTGAATAAAACATTTAGTGGGATCAAACAGCAGGAATAGCACCATTACAGGTACTACTACAACTGCTACTGCTGACAATAATAATAAAAGGCAGGATTTCTCAGTCATTGCTATTATTAGTATAATGTCCCTAATATATTATTAAAACCACAAAAAGTACATTTGTAAAGCACATTTAGCACAGTAGGGTGATTCAGGTTTTCACAGGCTGATGTCAGGCTGTGGTGGACTGTGGAGAGGTGAGCAGGAAAGGCTTTTGGAGGACATGGGTCATTTACTCTCTCCAAGAGAGTGCTGTATAAGTTTAGGAGCAGCTGGTTCTGCAAATAGTGAAGCTTATCTTGAGATTGCTGGAGGTGGTGCCGGCCGTTGCATACTCACATTTACACATACAGACATTTTGAAGAGGTGAATTGGTGAGCAGAGAGCGTAACCACACACTTTTCTTTCCTCAACAGGTGCTGAAAACACCGTTAACAGGTATCAAGCACCACAACAGTTGTCGGAGGTAAATTGGACTAAAATTGGTATTGTCATGGACTAGCCATGTAATTATGCTGACTTTTCCTATTGACTTTTAAATGTGTGAAACCTCATTACACAACGTCAAAGTAAATAATATTCACGCTGTAGAGGAAATTAAAATACAACCCATAAATTGCATCGTTGTTATTTGGAATTCAGGACATTACCATTTCAGATTTTTCTGTTGTACAAATGATTAATATGACACACCGGGCAGTGGCAAGGATGAATATTAAAACTAGTGTGGCTTCACAGCGAATCAAAGCACAAATGCTCAGGTGAGGTAAAAGTAAAGGGATTTTAACACATTTTCTTTGCCAAGCACAATTATTGGTAACTTTATTTAGATTAGTCTGCCAACAGATAGTTAGTTAGGATTCAGCAACTCTTTCCTGATATGACACCGCTGTGGTTTAGCTTTGGTTAAGTTTTGGCAAAAAGAAAAACAGTATACTCTTCAGATAGTCTGTCAAACATCTACAGACAAGAAAAACACTTGAATTATTACAAATACTATGTACTACATAATATAAATGATTTGTGGGCAGACTATCCAACTTAAGTGTTATCCAATGATGTGTAAAGGTCTTTGTAGAACAAAACTGACAATTTAACACCCAACTCTCAGATCTGCGTAACTTTGAGTCATTTTTAGCTTCATTATTCTGGACAACAGCAGAGAGGCAACAGAAACATGTGGCTGCTAAATATGTTGAGCACAAGCTTGGGGAGTAACGGATTACATGTAACTGAGTTACGTAATCAGGATTGAAAATAAGGTGACTGTAATCCATTACATTTGCACAAAAGTTGTCGTTGGTAAATATTATCTAAGCTAGGAGCCAGATATTTGTCTTTGGAGCTTGCAGAGCAAATCAAAGATGGCAAGTAAGTGTAGGCTACTGAAATAAAGTATTTGACTGATGGCCAGAAACATATCCAACTGTTGCATTTAAGTCAGATCCTGTTTGCTTACATGTTAGCAGGTCTAGCTTCTGTTTCTATGACTTTTATCAGTCTTTTTTACCCATACGTAGATTAACACAGCAAAGAAAATCAGCGAACATAATGCTATGTAATGACAAATAACATAATCCTAATTGAATCCACACTCACATTTCATACAAAATAGCCACGCTAGCTATAGTGACTCCTCAATACATAAGACACATTTTATTTAGGGTTGTGTCTACATAGCATAATCCATGTACCACATAGAGCCCTACCTGTATGAATATGTAGTCATCTTGAACCACCAAAGAGCTGATGTCGATGTATCCAGGGAAAGGGTAGTTCCTGTTGGCTTCTGTGCACATCTGAGCTCTGCATGTGACATACTGCACATCTGTCAGATAGAAAGACGCAGAAAGCATGAGAGGTTTATGACTACTAACTCAAGTATGCTTCTTATATACAGAGCAGTAGCAATACCTTATCAGCAACAAGTGATGAATTGAGGGTTTTGAATGGTAGCCATTTTCTTCAAATAATAAAGTGGCACTCACAATGTATGGGTGTTACTTGAACTGTGAGAGGTTTTACTCCACCCATCTACGCAGCCTGACATTTTCTCTGACTAATTTAGTCTCTTGCTAGCAGCAGATTTATTATTGATATGTGCAGATACCACAAACAACCATCCCCAGCCTGTCAGTCATACCACAGTTATATGAGAAAAAAGCACTGCTTGTATCTCAGAATGACGCTACTCCGACATCACAGGCTGGCGTGAACAGTTTCACCTATGTCACCTATTTCAAGACCTTGCTGGTACTGCCATTCAGAGTTATGGAGCTGACATTCAGCAAGTGAAAGGGAAGAGAAGAAAGGCCATATTCAAGAATCATGCACTGGGTTTATTGGTGGGGCAAGCCAGTGCCGTTTCCCCGGGGAAGCCTTCTTTTCTCCAGGAGGAATTCATCCCTATGGAGACCTGTTCATTACTCCTCTTTGATGTGTATGTGTGTGTACTTACTTCCATCTGGCGTATGAGCCTCCATGTGGACCAGGTCTGGCTCCTTGTCTAGCCCCGAGACAGACCTTGGAGAGAATGACAGACCGTGGAAGAATACATATCCATAATAGCAATGAATAGAAAGGAGTCCATAGAATAAAAGAAGAAACAAGACCAGTGCAGAGGGAGGGTGGAAGAGGAAACAGAAGGATCTAGCAGAGGCATCCAGTTAGAGCTGTTTCTTAAACTAGTGAGGAGAATACAGGAAAGTTCCACACATATTCGGAATGCCACATTATGACAAGCATATCTACAGCTACTCCAGGCTAGTTCCCTTGCAGCATAATGCAACAATACAAAGAAATACAAATACAGTCTCATCATTGAGTCAGGGTCACTGCACTCTATGACTATGAGTATATCTCTGGGTAAAATCTAGCTTTTTGCTCATTTCATTGCTTGTGGATTAGACTGGATGGACACAGCTTTCCCATTGTGGTGATATTTCATATCCCTTGGAGGCTGATGGAGCCATTGTCTAAATGCAGCCAACTGGAGGCTTGCCTAGCCATTGCTAGAGGCCCCTCCAGTGTTTAGATGTCCTTGAAGGGGCTTTGGCGGTGAAGGACGATACCAGCGATGAATTGTGCACATTATTTAGGATTATTCTACAATGGCACAGAAACAGGTCCAGATTTATGCAAGTTACGGTGCATATAGCCAACGGTGAACCCGGGGACACACCCCAGTCACCTCAAAGAGGGGCAGAGGAGCAGTGAGTTGGAATAGATCTGGGCCTACGTTTGTGATGAGTGTGCACTTTCAGACATAGTAGGTACACTGCAGGGGGAATGAGCAGCAGACGTGACTGGATGAGAAGTGACAGGGACGTCCCGGATCCATTATTAGTCATAGCTCCTCATACTGTACGCAAGCTTCTGTATCTGCATGTACAAATGCATATGTAGAAAACCAGCCTCTTTGCCTTCTACTACTGGTGTAAAACATAATGTTTATTATTTATGTGGAATATGCCTGATATGAATGGGGCGCGTGTGCGAAATGAAGTAAAATGCGACATGCCCTCGGACACTGAATGCAAAGCATGTTCTGAAGGATGAGATTAATCTCTGGCTGATTGTATCAAGGGGTAGGAAATGTGCAGAATTTCGGCAGCATCACCATGCAGTCACACAGTTTGTTCTAAGCCGTCAATATCACTCGCTCAGTCGTGCATAACACGAGCAACAGTTTCTGCATTGCTGAGTTCACCAAACTTTAGAGAAAGGGAATCAAAAATGAAAAAATATGCGGAAAAGGATGACTCACCAGTAGAATCTGTTTGGAGTGACTTGTTCGTGGATGAGCTGCCATTTTCTTCCAAAGTCCACAGAGCTGTACAGCTATGGAGATATCAGACAGAAGAGAAAAAACTTGGTCTTGTTAGCAAGATGAATGCATGTGTCTGAAGTGGTCCAGCTTCTAATTAGACTGGCTGATTTAAACCGTGACGAGCGAGCAAGAGACATGGCTGGATAATTCCACTGTGGAGGTTAGTCTGGGGCTGTAAAGCATTATCGGGAGAGATAGGCTGACATAGCGCTGAGCGGCTATCATCATTACCAACTGGCCATTTAAGCTAACATACTGTCACAGATATAGGCATCTCTTGTCCTCCTATTCCTTTCTCCCCTTATAAATGAGAGAGATAGGTTTAGAAAAAGCGCTTCACAGAAATAATAAATAAAAACTGAAATAGACATGACATTAATGTGACCACTTTCGGCTTGATCAGCAAATAATTCAGTTTGATTCAGTAGGTTTTAGCCTGCTTTTGTATTAAAAACAAATGTTGCACCCAGTGTAAACCAGCAGTCCTACAGAATGAGCGCACATGAATGCAAGGAATGATATATAGCTCAGTTGACGTGAAGGTGTACAGTATGTAGCCAGTGGCCCAATTTCAATGTACTAATTACATTTTCTGGTGCTCGGGCAAACAATTAATAACCCAGGTGCATTTCCCCAACACTGTATTGATTGATGTTGTAGAAAGAGTTCCCTTATGCCTTGCTGTGTCGGTGCATTGTTATTTCCTTGCAGCGTGGCGAGTCGGTGGCCCCAGTTGAGCTCTATGCTAATGTTCCTACTTGTTGCCTTTTATCACGGCAAAATCTGACACTTACTCTGATAAAAGGATACACATTTGTCACCCACTGCAAATGTATTTGTCAGCTTCGCAAGGGGAAATCTGTCTATGACGGCAGGTGTGTTTTCCATTTAAAAATTACATTAACCAGTGTTCCTCAAAATCGTACAGCAGGCGTGCCATACATAGGCAGAATGTAGCGATAATCGGCTTCTAATTTAAAACTGGCTTCACATGCGGATGTTAAACTCTATCATATGATTATTATTCCATCATATAATCAGCACTAGCAGGCCATGTGTGTGTCTTGAAAATGATGAGCAATGGCATGAGGCCGAATCATCTATCTTAGTGTCCCGTGTGTGGTTAAGGCATGGATCTAGTGTTAGCTGGGAGCAAACATTTGTCTAAACCTTTATGAAGTTGAACAGAGTCTAATATACTGTGCCCATAGGCGTCTATTCTACAGAAAATTAGATTTCTGATTCTTCCAACTTCAGTAAAGAAAGGCTCCCACTGGAGTCTTTGGTTGGGTGTAACAGGGTGGCAGGCAGGGTCCCTCATCACTTTGGACAGTGACATATGACGCCAGTGGGCAGGCTCAGCCTCTCCTCTCTCCATTCATCAGTTCAATGACATCTTAAATTTTAAAGCTTCTGAGCTGTCACAAAGTAAGCTTCATAGTTTCCCACTCACTACGATAAATCAAAAGTGTGGCCAGCCAGCTGCCAAGCCACCGATGCAGTCGGTGACAGCCGAGAGAGCCGACAATGGACGGGAGCTCAAATGGTGATTGAGGAATTGCGAAGAGCACGTTAGTTAAACTCATCTATTCATGTCGATGGTGGGTTCAGAAAACATTTGGGTTGCTCTGACTTGTGCATCAGGTTGCAGATAATGGTGGGCATGCAGCTGAAGGCGCTCTGAAATGCAATATGTGGACTTCTTTGTAAATTCCTAGCCAGATGTGTGTAGGGGAACATTAAGAACAGTCATAAAATTAAATTACAAAAGATATTCATTGATGGCCTTTTTCCACAACCAAACCAAGACAAAAACTAAATTAAAAAGCCCCGAAATTGTATTTTATAAATGTAATCTGAAAATGTAAACAATGTTAAAAATTCTCCTCAACAAATAAAAACTAAAAATTCTTGTGAAATAACAAAGAATGGAAAAATGTACCAATTATTTTATAACACCTGCATGCATCTGAGCAATCATATTGTACGCATTCTAGTAAAACTTACAGTGACCAGACATCCCGGTTTGTCTGGGATTGTCCTGGTTTCAAGGTGGGTATCTCCAGTCCAGACAAATATCTGTAAAAATCTGTCAGCCATTGAAATCTTGAACAAAAAGAGTGGCTGCTAACAGTGCTTTTTCCCTTAACCTTGAAATAGATGAAAACAATACCTGTAACATGCTGAGTGAAGAAAGATGTGGCCTCAGAATGCTAAGACATACAAATAAAATGCACTACCAAAATGAGACTAAAATGTAACTGATAAAATTAGATTTAAAGATCTTAGTTATTGTTGACTAAAACCAACATAATCAAATGACTACAACGTGACTCTCAGAAGACTATTTGTAGTTGTATATCACATACAATGTTAATATTTCTCCGACAGTTGGAATAACTGAATAATGCATGCAAAATACACTGCCAAAGCTCCAGTGTAAAAACAAAAACATCCAAGGGTCAAAAAGGCCATTGCACAGAGTGAGTATGCTTCCTTATCTCAGGAATAATTCATGTTAATCGAGATACAGGGAAAGACACTCAAACACTGTTTACACATAAGGTGTGTCAGAGCCAAAAGGAATGTCTCACTCTGTGGTTTAGATCAGCGTTCAGGTCTTTGAGGGCTATGTCTCACAAGAAATTAATTCCAGGCAGTGCTGGTTTTATCACATTTAGCCATCAAACAATTTAAAGTGCTGCAGGCATACAGACATTATAAGCAGGTTTTGTTTCACCACTCTTAGCTTAGGAGTTACGCAGGGATATTGGATTTCGGTATATGTATAGGGAATAAATCTTAAGGTTTATGTATTGGTCTACATTTGTTTTTCTCCTTGTAGCCTCAACTTGTGCTTTACAGGAAACAAATCTGCACGGGGAAGTGAGGTAAATCAAACACAGATGGAACCTTAATGAGAAATGAATTGATTCAAACTCCGGTTTCTCACAGGAGAGCTTACACATCAACCACTGAAAGATGAATTTCATGAAGCCTTTTCATGACTAGTTTTTTTCCTCTTCTCAGAGGTGTGCGGGAAATGCTTTGGGGAAATGTACATTATTGCATTTGGCATTGCTATCAAACTATTTAAAGCCTGGTGTAAGTGCACTTTTGCTTGAGATGAAATATGAATCTGAATAAAAGATAAATGACTGCTCTGCCGTGACTGTCTACTCTTGAAATCAATTAGAAAAGAGTCTTAGTGGTGGCTGTGGTGGTGCAGAGACATGTCCCCTGTGGACAGAACGACATGGGTTTTCAGTGTTCCAGGAAAGCCCATACCGCTCTCCCACACACAACATAACTACTGACCCTGCTGCTAGTTTCCTGCTGCAAACAACCTACTTGTTAGCTGCGAGGCTACTTTACCGTCTACCAAATCACAGACAGAGTTGGCTAAAATAATAATCATGGCTTTACTTGACTCTGATTGTTAGCTGTGGAAAAGCCTGCCGTGAAGAAGATGGATGAAGTGAGGGGGAGACAGAAAGATAAACCATTATTCTCACAGCAGATGATAAAATGTGGTGGACCTGTGCACCCAATTAGTGACAGGATGCGTCTGCAGGACTGTTTTTGACCCCAAAGACACCCCATTCTCGCAGGATTTCCAACCATTACCAGATGCACCATGCTACTCCCGCTCATTTCCGTCGAGATTCTGATCACTCCTGCCCGCAACACGCAACAATGTTCTCTATTATTATTATTATTATTATTATTATTATTATATTATTATTATACTCTATGCTGTCTGTTCCATTCTGCAATGAAAATAAGACATTATGGATTTTGCTTGAGGAAGTGGGAAGTAACTGGATAAAATTGTTAGGGATCATTTTCCTGCTTTACTGATAGTTTTAGTTGTTTCACAAAGCAACAGATGCAACTAGATACTGAAATGTCACTTCAAACTGGCAGTGATAATTTAAAGTTTAATTATTACAAAAAAGCACATTTTCTCACTAAGCTCTAGTGGCTTCTTGCCCTGGTTTTTACTTGTTCAGGTTTTAAGATACCTGTCTCTGATATTTCTGCCTCCACCCCAATATAATGGAGATGAACGGAACTTCATGAGTGGTGCACAAAGCATTTAAGGTTCAACAGCAACATCTATTTCCACATATAATGTACCTGTTACTCAAGATAATGGACTTCACTATTAGTTCACTAACAAAGGACTATTTCTTTGTTGGAAAGTAGCTCCAATGAAAAGTGTACATTGTTGAAGAAGAAATCTTGAAGTCGGATACCTTTGAAATCTGAACAAATAAAAGAAAAAGTATCTGTATTATGTAAGTGAGAAGAGTTTGTGGATATTTATGTTATTAGGATGACCTACAAGATAAACTAGATCTCAGACTCACTGTTCATATCACATATTTTTATGTTGTGCTCTTCTGCAATTAGAAAGTAGAGCCAATCGAAGCTTTGTACCCTGGTTTAAGAACGGGGGTGTCATCTTTCTGAGCCAATAATAGCTATGTTACATCCATTAATAGTGACAGAAGAATTGTCACGAAAATAGCAATAAGCTTGGATAAGATGGATTAATAGTAAGTCTTAAATTGACAACAATCATCCAAAAGACGTGGAGTCAGCAACTGACTCAAAATAGGGCAAAAAGTAACAAAATAACTTCCACTCCCATCAGAAATTTGAACATGAACAAGATGAAAGACTGAAAAATGAAGACAAACAAAATGTCAATTCAGCCTGATTATCCAAGTTGTCAATAATAAATATGCAATGTCTGGTTATACTTTCAAAATAAATCTTGTTGAGTGGATCAGCTTGTCTTTTGCACGCTTTGCTGTGAGACTGGGCTGGATTATCAGGCACACTGTAAAACCATACATAAGTTATACGTTTATTGAACTCAAAAAATGTTCAAACGTATTACATCGATCATTTTAAGTAAAACTTACTTGATTATGTAAGTAAAAAAAATCAATCTTGGTCAAATAGCTTTAGTAATTTTGAGTGACACTGACTTCATTTTGTC